CTAAAATAGCCTCTTTCCTCATCTTCACTTATCTTTCACCTGTGTCCTACTATAGGTCAACTCAAGTCTCACTCCCTCCCGAAAGCATTTCCTGCAACACTACATTTTTCCGTGATCACCTCTTCCTTTCTAACTCCCCCTCCCCTAGAATTAAAGTAGAGGTTGCAGGCCAGCCCATGAAGTGACTTTTGTTTGTTTGTTTTATTTGAATTATCTTCCAAATTTACAAATCAGAAATTTTCCCATAAAAATGTGAATTTCTATGACTAACAATAATGTGCAACTGAAATCTCACAAGGTTGTAACCTATCATAATCTAAATTTTAAAAAAATGTGAATTTCTAGGTTCTCTTGAAAAATCAGAAGAAGTGGTAACACTGGGTCTGCATTCCCTCCTGGCAAAAATGGGCTGGAGTTGAGTGGTGACAACTGGCCCTTTGTTAGGGCAGGCACTCTCAGGTTTACTCTTACACCTGGCTTGCTATACTCACATACACGCATGCCTGGCTCATGTAAGCATTTGAATTTGTAACCCCAGCTCTAAACCATGGCTGGACACTTTGACATAGACTACCTGGTAGTTATTTATCTTGATATTTATCATGTCTTCCAGAAGAGTTTCACATCTTCTGCTTAATTTGGGATTCCCCACAAAGCCTAGTGCAGCAACCTAAACATAGGAGGATATTGAATGGAAGGTACATGAAGAGGATGATGATGATGATGATGATGATGATGATGATGAGAACCCAGTCTGCCTTTTCTTAACTACCCCATCACCCAACAAAACCACAATTATCCCATTCCAAAAGTAAATACCAAGAAAAAAATTCTACATGAGGAAATAAAACAGGCTCAGAAAGCAATGGGAGTGAAGAGGGCAAGGCAGCCCTAGGAAAGGTGATGTCAGCGACACCAGCCCAGGCCTTGCAGCTGGAGCAGGAAGGTCAAAGTCACCCGCTCTAGTTAGCAGGCATTTGTGAGTCCTGTGTAAGGCTTCTTACCAGAAGGCTCTGTTGGTCCCTATTTCCACACTCAAGCCAGACAGCTGAGACTCAAAAGCAGGAGGAAAAAGAGGAAGGATGATGGATAGTGGGGATGAGCTCCAGGTTGGAGAAGAGGCTAGCTACTCATGTGGCAATCACCCTCTCTGTTCTCTAATGTGGGAAGTACTGACAGAGGGCTACTTCCAACCTGTGGAGCCCACAGAGTTGCCTAGAGCTTCAGAGTGAGGGATAGGTCAGGATTCGAATTCAGATCATATGACTCCACAGTCAACATACCCCACCACTACACAAAGAGAGGAGGATTTACCATGGAGCTAATTAAGCTTGACCTTCAGGGCCTCTTACTCACACAAGCCCCCTTCCAGGCTCTGGGCAGCACCTCGGCAATGTGTTCATGCGGTCATTACAAAACTTGCAAAAGTAAGATCTTTTAATAGCAAATGGTTCGGAGCCCTGTTTCTTTTTACTCAGACTCTCCAATACCTTCCCCTTGTTGGGCATTTTTGGGGATCTGGCTGAGAGGAAGTTGAGTTGGGATACAATTATTTTGGGTCATGTTTATGTAGCTTACAATCCCTTTCATCAGAGTTAAGTTATTGCTAGACATGCAGATATAGAAATGGCTTTCAAGTATACCTGTGTTACCCACTGGGCAGACTCATCTAGCATTACGACCCAAATTTGTAGGCCAGAGGTCATATCTTGAGGTAAGTGGCACGTAGACTGTGGAGGAGAGACAGGGTTTAAAATGTATGAAGTCAGAAGCTAGTCTGTGGAAAATTCTTCCAAACATCACCCATGTGAAATTTTAAGTGGAGGATTCAGTTATTGACTAGTACCTGGTATGGTAGCAAGCATCCAAGATGGCCCCAGTGGTCTCTGCCTCCCGTTACTCATGCCCTTGCTTAGTACCCTCCCAAATTATGTCAGGGCTGATGTGTGATCAATAGAATATGGAAGAAGTGGTGGTGTGTCACTTCCAAGGCTAGATCATAAAAGCACTGCAGCTCACAGCTCTGCCTTGGTCTTCCCCTTTCTCTCACTCTGGAGGAAGCCAGCTACCCACATCCTGAGAAGCCCCACCATGAGAAACTGAGGTCTCCTGTGAATAGCTAGATGAGTGAGCTTGCAAACAGATCCTCAAGCTCAGGTCAAGCTTCATATGACTTGTCGACCTGGCCAACAACTTAATTACAACCTCATGAGAAACCCCGAGCCAGAACCACCCAGCTAAACTGCTCCTGAATTCCTGACTCACAGAAACTGTGAGATAATAAATGTTTGTTGTCATCCCACTAAATTTTGGCATAATTTATTATGTAGCAATAGATAACAAGAAAAAATGGTAGCTCTCTTCTGGTCAAGAATATATTCAATAATTCAATAATAATTCAACAAAGTCTTAGCGCTTATATATGTAAGGAACTTGATAGAAGTTTCCCTAAATTTGACAACAATCTTAGAATTTTCATGACATTACCATAAGTTGTGAGGTTGAAAGAAACTTTTCTAAACTATTATTGATAAAATTATTCTTATTAAAGATGCCAGAGGAAAGACTGATTCTTTTAAATTTTTACTTATTTATTTATTTATTGGTGAGGAAGATGGTCCCTGAGCTAACATCTGTGCCAATCTTCCTCTCTTTTGTATGTGGGATGCTGCCACAGCATAGCTTGACCAGTGGGGTGTAGGTCCGCACCCCGGGTCCGAACCCACAAACCTTGGCTATTGAAGCGGAGCGTGCAAACTTAACTATTACACCACTGGGCCAGTCCCTGATTTATTTTTTATTCTCTTTATAGAAAATATTACAAAGTTGTTGTCATATGAAGGAGCAATCAAAGAATATGCAGCTAAGTATCTAGAAAAATATATTATAGAAGTTTATAGAGTTCATTTGTAAAAAAAAGACAACTTTTTTTGTTTAAATGTATATGGTACAGTTTTTTTTCACTGTAATTTGTTGTGATTTCCTTTCCTAGTCTAAATAGATATTCACTTTTGAATTTAATTTTGTCTCAATAATTTTGCATTCTTTTTCTAGAGGCTTCTATAAAACCTTTGCTCTCACATTGGACATCATAAAATGTTCTGTCAGTTATTTACTGACAAGGTCTAGAGGCTGTTTCATTTAGATTCAAAGTGGGATGTGAGTAGAGGGACCCTGGCATTGTGCCCGTGGTCTAGGTACTCTACCCCCTTATAATATACAAGGGTCAAGCCCACATGCACCCCTGAGAATTCTGTTTGTATCAGTGGAGGGATCCCCACGTGGACTCTTCCCAGGCCTTGAGAGGATCTCCGACTAGTTCTGCTTTTAATAGCCTCAGGCTTTTACTTTCTGACCTCTTCAAAGTCTCTATTACTCTTTTACTTTTCTTTTTCCGCCTTAGGAGATACTAATGAAACTGAAACATGATTATTTCCATCAAAAAGGAATTGGTGAAACTTATTGCAGAACAGCGCCTGACCATAGTATGGCAGCTGTTAAAAAGAATAAGGTAGGCCTTTAAGCACTTATGACCGTGAAAAGATAGTCAAGATACATTGCAAAGTGGGAAAAAAGCAAACTACAAAACAATATGCATAGTATTAGCTTGTTCTTATCTTGAAAATGCTGTATTTCATTCATTCTAAGATGCACATTCTTTCAAATTTTACTATGTCTGATCAATGACCTATCAGAGTTTTTTGGCATTTTTTTTTCTTGTTGAGGTCTGTAAATAAGATGCATCTTTCAAGCAATGATACCTGAGATTTGATGAAATATGATATAACTATATATAGCATACCCGTCAGACCAGGACTGCAGCTTGGAAAGCCGCGGGCTGGAAAAGCCTTCAGCTGTTTCGAAAGCCCTCAAATTGAGAAACGCTCGGTATTGCGGCACAAACAGAAATCGGCTACGAGGACCCCGCTCGCTGGGTCTGGCTGACATGGAAATCACAGAAGCATCGCCTTGTAAGGCAGGGATTGCAGTGGGCCAGGGTTCTAATTTTGCGGCTTCTCAACATTTCGTTCTCCGTTGAAAGGAGCTAAGCGCCCAAGTGTGAGGAGCTCAGGAACCGCTCGCCCGCTGCACGGGTCGCGGTGGGCGCGGGCGGACCCCGGGGTCGCGGTGGGCGCGGGCGGGCAGGAGGCCAAGGGGGCGCCCTCTGCGAGGTGGGTCGGCGCTGCGGCCGAGGCGGGTCCGGGGGAGCCGGGACCGGAGGCGGGGCGGGGCTCGCGCTGGCGGGTCGGTCGGCGGGTCTCCGTCCGTCCGCGTCCAGAAAGCTGGGGGAACAGACGCCCGAGCAGGGAGGTGGTTTCTCAGGGGTGAGATGAATGGAGACCTACACTTCCTGGTCTCTATGTTTCTGTGTTATTTACATTTTAAAAGACCACTTCTATGTATCTTATAATTGGAGAAAAAAGGTAGACGTTCAAATGGGAAAATGCGGACGGGCAGCAGTGAAGCGGGGAGGCCCTGCCCGCGTCTTGCTGTTTTGCGCCCTAACCCTCGGGAAGGTTTTAAGGAACATGAATTGTTTTTCCAATACAAAAATTTGTTTTAAGAAATAAAACTCTCCCCAAGCCCAATTTCACTTCTTCAAATAAAAGTAAATGTCAAAATCTTTCAACACTGCGTGGGAAAAGTAGTTTATTTCTAAATTAAATGTATACGCGGTTCGGACGATTTATTCATCAAGCACTTTGGTAAGAATAAACAGCGCCTACTGTCCGACAGACACAGTTCTCGCAGCTTCCTCGCTTATTACCTCATTTGCTTAAAAAAATTTTTTTAATTGAAGATGGTTTTAAGAAACTCGTTAACTTCCTAAAACGCGTTCCCTGGCAACGAAGGGACCCGCGGCCTCGCGCGCCGCTCTCCCGTGACCCGGTGACCGGGCAGCCATCTTAGGCATCGCCTCACAAAGGGGACTACATCTCCCAGAATCCTCGCGCGCGCGTCGTGCTGGCACTTCCACTGGCCGGGTCTGAGCGCGGAGCCCGGAGCCGGGCGCCATCTTTGACGCTGGCAGTCGGGGTTCCTGCTGGTGGTGTTGCTGTGAGGACGGCGGGCGGCAGCGGCTAAGAAAGGAGAAGGACGTGACAGCGAGCCGGAGTCGGAGATAGTGTCGTCGGTCCGGTAAAGTTCTGTTCTCTGGTAACTAGACCCGTTTTTTGATTCCCGGGTGGCTCGGGGCCGGGGAGGTGGGCGAGAGGGCGAGGGGAGTGTCCGCGGCCTCCCCTCGCCCGGGTGCGGCCCAGCCCGGGGAGTCGAGCGGCCCCGGGGCCCGCCGCGCCGCCCCTCCCTTCGCGGCCTGGGCGCGGGCGGTTCTCCGCGTCGGCTCCCGGGAGCCGGCGCCGTGGTGCTGGGGGCCCGCGCCGAGCCGAGCGCCGGAGCCGCCCCGCCGCCCCCGCTCGTCCTCGGCTCCTCGGCGGCCCGGCCCGCCCTCGCCACCGCCCCGGCGCGGCCTCCGCCCCCGGCGCAGCCTCCGGCCCCGGCGCGGCCTCCGCCCCCGGCGCGGCCTCCACTCCCGGCGCGGCCCGCGCGGAGGCCGCGGAGCTCCTCGGCCTCAAAACGTCTGGGAACGAAAGCGGGCTTAACTCCTGATCCAAACGGTGGATCGGAGATGCAGCGTGTGTCCTTGTTTTTTAGTTTCACTCTCGAAGCGTCTTTTTAGCCACCCGCATGTAAAAATCGCAGTCCTTTTAGTTAGAGCGGAAAGGGCTCAGCTAGCGCCTGCTGCTAATGACCAGTATGTGGAGTCTGATTCAGCTTTCCAGAGTTGACTTTTTGGGTTGTATTGGCAAATCACAGTCCTAAATGATGAATGTCGAATGATGCACTATGTTTTTGTTTAAATGAAATTTCCTGAAAATAATTAATTTCAGAGTTAAGGGAAATCGATGTTGTTATCATGAGGCGTCATAAAAATACGTATTTTAAAAGCTGAAGGCATTTCAAGCAGACGTGGTTCTTGATGAAGCAGAAAGAACATGGCCCGCGATCTGGAAGACCTGGCCACTAGCTCCCGCGGACCAGCTCTGTGACTCTGGGAAAGTGGCCTCGGTGCTTTTTTCTATGATGTGAGGCGATTGGACTGTTTGAATTCAGAACTCGGAAAGTTGGAAGGGATTTTAAAGCCCTCTAAACAAGAGTTTGGGAATGTTCTTCATTGCTGTCACTTTTTCTCCAGAAATAACCTGGCTTGGAAATCCTTGGTCCACAGGGAATCCGACTCCCCATAGAAATCGGAGAAAAGGTAATGCAAGTCCAGAGGAACAGCTGTATTTCTGCTTGAGCAATAAACCCGCTAACAGATTTTGGTACGAACTTTGGAGCCCTAAAGAGAATGAGTATATGTACCTTAAGTGTGGCAGTGTCCTCGCTCTCTCCTAGCAGGAGATGCAGCGCTTTTAGTAGTGCCGGGATTCTGGGATGTGTTCCTATTAATTCTAATACAGATGAAGAAGCTGTGGTAGAGGGAAAGATGGTGGCAGAAGGAATGGATAAAGAGGCCAGATTGCCTGCTAAAAAGAAAAGGAAGAAGGGTTTGCGACTTAAGGGGAAAAGGCGACGAAAAAAACTGATTCTTGCGAAAAAGTTTGGCAAGGATTTGGCATCTGGGAGGCCTGTTGCAGATGCCCCTGCTTTGCTAGCTTCCACTACTCCTGAGCAGGATGAAGACAGTCTTTTTGAGAGCAATATAGAAAAACAGATCTACCTACCTAGTACCAGAGCCAAGACTTCCATTGTGTGGCACTTCTTTCATGTTGACCCGCAGTACACCTGGCGGGCTATTTGTAACCTCTGTGAAAAAAGTGTTAGCAGGGGCAAACCAGGCAGCCATCTTGGGACGTCTACCCTTCAGCGACATCTGCAGGCGAGACATTCACCTCACTGGACTAGGGCCAACAAATTCGGAGTCGCTGGTGGGGAGGAGGATTTTCCTTTGGATGTACCTCTATCTCCCTCTTCTGCTGGAAGCAGCGGAAGCTTTGAATATATTCCAACAGATCCATTAGATGATAATAGAATGGGTAAGAAAGGAGATAAATCAGTATCTGATGCCCTGAGGGCAGAAAGAGGGAGATTTCTCATCAAAAGTAACATTGTCAAGCATGCCTTAATTCCTGGAACAAGAGCCAAGACATCTGCAGTTTGGAATTTTTTTTATACTGATCCTCAGCACATCTCAAGAGCTGTGTGTAATATATGTAAAAGAAGTGTGAGCCGGGGTAGGCCCGGTTCTCACTTAGGAACTTCAACACTTCAACGACACCTGCAGGCCACTCATCCCATCCATTGGGCTGTTGCCAACAAAGACAGTGGTGCGGTTGGAAATGGGTTAGATGAGCCTGAGACCGAGAGAAGTGATCTCTTGAGCGATGCTTTGCATGAAGACAAGTCTGCAGGCAGCCGAGATTTAACAGCTGAGGACCTCAGTGACTGTAATTCAGATGAACCTCCTGTGTTAGAGGTTGAAAATAGAAGATGTGAGAGCCCTAGTCCTGTTGCAGAGCAAGACACTGTAATGCCTGCACAGGAGAGAGAAACAACATATTGTGAAAATTCAATCTCAAGTCAAATAAGTCAGGCAATTATTCAAATGATCGTGGAGGATATGCATCCTTACAACTACTTCTCAACTCCAGCCTTTCAGAGGTTCATGCAGATTGTGGCCCCTGACTATAGGTTACCATCTGAGACTTACTTTTTCACTAAGGCTGTACCTCAATTATATGATTGGGTCAGAGAAAAAATTTTCTTAACTTTGGAGAACGTTCAAAGCCAAAAGATCCACCTGACTGTGGACATATGGACCCATGACCCATTCACTGATTATTTCGTTGTGACTGTACACTGGGTCTCTTTGGAAACTGTACCTTCTTCCAATAATGGTAGGATCCCTAATTTTAGAAAGTGGGCAGTGCTTTGTGTAACAGGTTTGGCCAAAGACTGTTTGATAACCAACATTTTACAAGAATTAAATGACCAGATTGGTCTGTGGCTTTCTCCTAATTTCCTCATCCCTAGCTTTATTGTTTCTGACAATTCCTCTAATGTGGTACATGCAATCAAAGATGGCGGTTTTACCCACGTGCCGTGCTTCCTGCATTGTTTAAATATAGTCATTCAGGACTTTTTCTGTGAGCACAAAAGCATTGAAAATATGTTAGTGGCTGCTAGGAAGACTTGTCATCATTTTAGTCATTCAGTCAAGGCCCGTCAGATACTGCAAGAGTTCCAAAATGATCACCAACTTCCATGGAAGAATTTGAAGCAAGATGAAACGGGCCATTGGATTTCTACCTTTTATATGTTAAAATGGCTCTTGGAGCATTGCTATTCAGTTCACCATAGTCTTGGTAGAGCCAGTGGAGTTGTGCTCACCTCCCTTCAGTGGACTCTAATGACTTATGTTTGTGATATTCTTAAACCATTTGAAGAGGCCACCCAGAAAGTGAGTGTGAAGACCACAGGATTGAATCAGGTGCTGCCCCTAATCCATCATCTACTCCTTTCCCTGCAGAAACTCAGAGAAGATTTTCAAGTCAGGGGTATTACTCAGGCCCTCAATCTGGTGGACAGTTTATCTCTGAAGCTTGAAACTGACACCCTACTAAGTGCCATGCTCAAATCCAAGCCCTGTATCTTGGCTGCTTTGTTAGATCCTTGCTTTAAGAATAGTTTGGAAGACTTTTTCCCTCAAGGTGCTGATTTAGAAACTTACAAGCAGATCCTTGCAGAAGAAGTTTGTAGTTATATGGAATCTTCACCCGAGGTCTGCCATGTTACAACTTCAGAAGCTTCTGGTTCCTCGGCTGTAGTAGGAGTTGATTCATTTACCTCGTCTGTAAGAGACGGCACCTGCAGTTCAGGGTCTCTTGATAGCTCAGCTGCACATAGTGTTGCCATTGGAGGCAAAAGCTTCATGTTTCCTTCTGCGATAGCCGTAGTGGATGAATACTTCAAAGAGAAGTGTCCAGAGATCTCAGGAGGTGATGACCCTTTGATTTACTGGCAGAGGAAGGTGAGCATGTGGCCAGCTTTGACCCAAGTTGCCATTCAGTATTTAAGCTGCCCCATGTGTAGTTGGCAATCTGAATGTATCTTTACTGCAAATAGCCACTTTCATCCAAAGCAGATCATGAGCCTGGACTTTGACAATATAGAACAGCTGATGTTTCTGAAAATGAACTTGGAAAATGTTAACTATGATTATTCTGCATTGGTTCTGAGGTGGGATCCTGAGAATGAAGTTGTTCAAAGCAATGAAAAAGAAATAGTATCCTAATTTCTTTTTCCTTTCTCCATTTAAAATGGGCAGCTTATTGCTATGTTACTGTATCCTAATAGCTATAGTTGTTATATATAGTTATACTGATTATTCTTTATATACAAATCTGGGGAAACCTGAAAACACAAAAAGGGCTGGAAATTCCTCAGAGGTAATATAATGTTGACAAAGTGAAGATTAACTTTAAAGATTTCACAGTAGTAACTCAGTGTGTCTGTCACTTGAAGTTTTGCTTATACTAATTGAGAAAGCAAACATATTTTTTAAATAAAAAATATAGTGCAGCATTGAAAGGCCTTAGGCTGGTAGATTGAACTAATGATTGATTCTAAGTAAAAATTTCTCCCAACATGGGAAGTTTGATTGCTCTGAAAAGGCATACTAAGCTGGTATCGCCCCCCCCCCCCCCCACCGGTTTTTCTATTTCTTCAAAAATCCTGATTCGTACCTACAGCTTGATAAAAACAAAACTCACAAAATTGTTTTATATTTGGAAATTTCTAATTGCCTCCTCATACTGGTCAGCTTTATAATTTCAACTTAGTGTGATAGAGTTACCCTTTATATTTAGGATTGGATCTGTGTAGGAGGGAAACATTAGAAAACAATTAGGAAAAAACTACTTTTAGTCTTTGAATTGCCTTTTTTAACCTTTATAAAATAGTGTAAAAACAGTAAAATTAAGATTGTCTAGGTACTTTTATACAATTTATGGGTAAATACATAAGAAGTTTACAAAATTGAAAAAGATTGAACAGGAATTGGAATGAAAGCGCTGTGAGCGTACTTTGACAAACCCAGCATCCATTTCCCAAAGAATGTTTCTGTAATTTAAAGTGATCTTAAATGTCTTTAAAAATATATACTGAATCATCCATAATACCATATTCTTAACTATGAGATTATCTTGGCCTCTATTCTTAATTAAAAATAAGCAGTCAGTATTTTCATGTGTTAGGAATCATTGCCTCACTGGTTAAAATGAAAGAATTGATCTCAGTGATCTTTAAGGTCCCTTTCCACTCTGAAAGTATGTTTCTGTGATTGAGTGGGAGGCCAGAAAATGATGACTTTTAGTAAAAGTCTATTAAAAGTTTCAGATTGAATAACTAATATAAGATCCCAATTTTTCCTTTTTTTCATTTTAGATTTGGGGATATTCCCTGCCCAAAAATTTCCTGGAAAATTGACTAGTATTAAGTGTGAGTAAAAGGTGTCCACTTTTTTTTAAGTTTTGATTTTAGTTTTGTCTTGGATAGTATTTGGCAAGATTTAGCCTAGAAATTATGTAGTATTTATTACGTGAGAATCAAATTGCTTTGTTACTGGGCTGGTTTCAAAATTTAGAACTCATTTCTATGTATCAAAATCGTTTTTTGTTTTTGTTTTTTGTTTTTTTTGAATTTCTTAAATGGTAAATGTACCATTGTGAAATGAAATTGCAACTCCAAAAGTTTACCCTTTTACTAACTGGAGTAAATAGATAATTACAAAGTCTTTAGTTGTAGCCATCACTAGTAAAGAATTTGAAGCCAGGCTGCATAAGCAAGCCTTTGCAGGGTCAATATTGAATGTCATGCCAGTGACACTGGTGTTTCTATAAAAGAAGAAAAAGTCTTCCCTTATATAGAAGCCTTCTGTACTTTGACAGTGCCAGTTCAGGATGGCTATTATGCTGCTCTGCCTTCTACAGCTTGCTGCACCACTCTGTAGTTACTCTGTAACTATACGTTTCTATCTTTTCTGGTTAAACACTCCCTGAAGATGATAAAGATGAGGATGATGATGTGCATACGTCCAGATTATACACATTGATATATGTGTAAGGATTTCCCTTCATCTCAATTTTGCGGGCTGGGCAAAATTCAGTGTGACATATTAACGTACTTCATGATACTTTGGTATAAGAGTAAGTTCACTATTTTTATAATGAACCCAAATTTAAAGGCATTTGTAGTGCATTTTAAAAGGGAAAACTTACCCAAATGTTTTATTTCTACACATTTGTGTATATGTTTGTGTGTGTATAAGCCAGTTAGTATATATGTATATGTATATTACATACATAAAACACTTTATGTTTTTACATACAAGTATGCTTTTATTATACAGATAATAAAGATGGGGGAAGGTTTCTGTTTTTTTCTTAATAGGTGAAGAAATCTTGAAGACCAGAAATTGGATCTTACTGAATTTTGGTGTTCTTTTTATTTTTTTTTTCTTTTTTCTTTTGAAATTATATTGTTCAGCTATGGAAGATGGATTTTTTTTTTAAATAATCCTTTGAATCTCAAGTTCATCTTTAAATGAACTCTTTTTGTTTTTGTTTTTGTTTTTGTTTTTGAGGAGATAACTGAGTCTAGCTGTCTCCAGTCTGGCAAAGGTTATTCGAATGGACTTAATCTCTCAGTAGTTGGGAGATGTTTTAAAAACACGTCCTGTGTTTGAATTGTGGCTGAGAGGTTTCCTTGGCAATGTGAGGAGGAAAGTTCTTTTGGCCTCATTATTATTAATTCATGGATTGAGTGTTGGTTCGACCTACAGGCGTAATAGATTGGAACTCAGTGAAGACACAGATGTTCCTGTTGAGAGCAACCATCTCATGTAAGTGTGGAAATGGTCTTTTCTCATTAAAGGAGTGAACTTTTTTGTAATTTAAGGTATAATAATATTCCTGGATCAGTAAGAAATTAGAAAGACATTGTCAAGACATTTTTTCTTATAATTGTGTACAAGCTTTTGGTTTTTGGATGGAAACCCCTATTTTTGACAACACATGCACATTGTTAAAAAGGTGGAAATGATACAGCCAAGGTGAAATGGCCCTGTAATTTCATCTCAGAGAAAAGCACTGTTATAATAGTTTATCAGGACGTAGTTCCTGTCCAAAGGTTTTTTTCACCCAGAACTTATAAAAAAACATACAGTTTTTTCCCAATACTTGAGTGGTTATATTTTTATATTAAAAATGTAATCTAGAGATTGTGGTTATATGGCATTGCCTTTCTTCCTCCCATAAGCACTGTAGACATTGTCAAGTACTGCTTGTGTTTTTGCTGAGTGCGATTATAAATTCAGAATCTTTCTTAGTATAGTGCTTTAATTAGCTAAAGCCTCTTCGCTATCCTTGCTTCTATTCCCCTGGAACCTTTTCGCATGAAATAGAATTTTTTTTCAACTGGGTGGCCAATTTTTTGTTAATTTCAAGTGCCACTTTTTTCATAAATTGCATTTATTCATGGACTTGCTTGACTTCTGTTCATCTTTTACTCATTCATTTGCCATTATTACATTTAAATATTATGTTTCATGTCTACTGTAATATCAGGTAGAGCAGGCCTCTCATTCTTTTTAAAGATTTTCTGGGGCCAGCCCCGTGGCCGAGTGGTTAAGTTTGCGTGCTCTGCTGCGGTGGCCCAGGGTTTCACCAGTTCGAATCCTGGGTGCTGACATAGCGCCGTTCGTCGGGCCATGCTGAGGCGGCATCCCACCTGCCACAGCTGGAAGGACCCATAACTAAATTATATACAACTATGTACCGGGGGGCTTTGGGGAGAAAAAGGAAAAATAAAATGTTAAAAAAAAATTTTTTTCTTTATTTTCCTCAGTTATTCTATATGATTTTACAGTCTCTCAAGTTCCAGTAATAATACTCATTGAGATTTCGACCTGAATTGCATTCAGTGTCTACAGTTTTGGGGGGAGAAGTAAACTCCTTTAAGCGTCTACTCCATTATTTCTCCATTATCCAGGTCTTCTATGCCTTAGTAGTTTTATAGTTTTTTGGTTTTGTTTTTAATTTAATGTGAGTCTTATACACTTCTTCATTTTCTGTCTATATATCTTCTAGTTTTATTGTGAATGAGACTCTGTCATCTGAATGATTGCTGCTGGCATATAAGGCATTTACTGTTTTTTTCTATCTTCTTATTTTAAATATTTTTTAGTTGATTGTTAGGTTTTCTGGTTTGCAGGCATGTGATCTGCAGATACTAAACTTTTTGCCTCATCCTTTCTAGTCTTGAACCTTTTTTCCCCTTGTTGCGTATGCTGGGCTCTCTGGAACAGTGTTGGATAATAGAGCAGATGCTGTTCATTCTTTGTTTGCTTTGGTGGGCTTACCACTAGTGAGTCAGTGCATTTATGCTAAGGAGGTTCCTTGTAATTTACTAACAGTTTTATCAGGAAGATGTTGCATTTTCGCCTCTGTTTTAAAGCCATTTTAACTTTAAAAAAATACCATTTTAAATCCTTTTTTCTTTTTACCATTTTTTGCTTTTTGAAATCTTAAGATACCACAGAGTTTTTGTTTTTGTTTTTACCCCCCTTTACTCTATTAATGTGATGAATTTCCTTATGTTAAATCCTGCTTAGTCCTGGAATAAACCTTTTTTTGATCGTGTGTTACTCTTTTAATCTGCTGTGGTTCAGTTTGTTTTATTTAGGTTTTATCAGCTGTATCATAAATCATGTATAAAGCGGTTGTTTGAAACTTTTTAAAAAAGCAGTGGAATAGTGCTATGACATGGTTTTGTTCTTCTACTTTTATTGAGTTCTTTTTTCAAGTTAGAATACTTGTGTGATTTTTTTGAAGAATACGTGGAGTACATAGTATACTTTTTGAGACTTTTCATGTCTAAAAACTTCTTCCAAGTGCTGAGATATCCTTGAAATGTAGTTTGAAAGGCTAATTCTAAGGTCATAACCTCTCCTTTAAATTTGGATGCATTGTCTTTTGGCATGTAGAGATTCAGATGAGAAGTCAAATGTCAAGTCTGATTTTCTTTCCTTTGTCATCAGTCTGTGTTTTCCTGGAAGTCTGTATGATTCTGTCTTTACCCTTGGAATTCAAATTTTTACCATATTTATGGTAGAGTAGAGGTGTCTTAAAACTTCTGCCTGGCGTTTGATGAGTCCCTTTTAATATAAAGACTCAAGTTCATCCACTTTAGGGACATTTTCTTGTATTGTTATTTTGTTATTCTACCTGTTCTCTTCCTTCCTTTTAGAATTTTCATTGTGTAGAAGTTGAATCTTCTGGAATTATTTCCACCTTATATACCTTTTCTTTCATTTTGACATCTTTTTGCATTCTGGGAGATGTTCTGACAGTGATATCCTATAATTCAGTTATTGCATTTTTCGTCAGTGTTTATTCTGTTATCTATTCTTCTGTTGAAATATCCTTTGTGGGGAGGAGGCTAGAAATCGGAATTTTTATATTTTTTAAGCTTTTTCTTGTTCCCACACTTTTTCTAGCCATGTATTCATCCGTATCAAGCCGTATGCTTTAAAACTTGCTGAGAGAGCCAGCCCGGATGCCTAGTGGTTACAGTTTGGCACTCTCAGTGTTTTGGCGGCCCAGGTTGGTTTCTTGGGTGAGGAGCCACACCCCCTGTCTGTCAGTTGCCATGCTGTGGCGGCTCACATAGCAGAACTAGAAGGACTTACAACTAGGATGTACAGCCATGCACTGGGGCTTTGGGAAGGGGGGAAAAAAGAGGAAGATTGGCAATAGATGTTAGCTCAGGGCAAATCTTTCCCTGCAAAAAAAAAAAAAAAAATCTGAAAGCATGAGGATTTTAAAAGAATTTCTCCTTTTCCCCACATTAGTTCAGGGGTGGCATGGTGGAAGGCCACTTATCATCTTGGCCGCCTCCTTTCAAACAGTTCTTTTCTGTTGAACAGTAATCAGATTTTTCTTGGCATCCTGGATACTTTTTTTTTCTTTTTTCCTTTTAAAACTTAAGAAAACATTATGCATCTTGGTATTGGGTTTTTGCTTGGGGTAGTAGTAATTACTGTCAATTTTTTATCTTTAAATTTCTTTTTTCTTGCCATTTTCTTGAGCAGCAATTAAACCTTTTTTCTCCCCACTATTGAAAGTTAATAAAAGCACACTGTGTAAAATAGATATATGAAGAAGCTGTTCTGTTGAAACATTAGTAAGGGAGTGCCCATCTACTCAAGATTCTGTCTCTCTATGCCCTGCCTGCCACGGAGGGAGTTTTGCAGAGCCTAATTTGAAAAAATTGGAGGGAGAAAACATGCAGTTCATGCTATTTTGTTCCTATTTAACAAGTACCATTTTGTTGTTTGATCAGTATGTTGGGGGTCATCCCGAAACCAGCAACAGATTCATATATGGTCTTTGGGATGTTGGAATGAAATTGACATCCAAACCTTTTTTTCTTTCTAAAATTTTCTCTGTGGAAACCTTTTTCATTCGCATCTGATTAATACTTGTCCTTTTTGCATATATACCGTTATAATTATTTGAATATCCCTTAGAGACTTGATTCCATTGATTTGGCTTTTAAAATTACCTTTTGGTGTATCCTACAAGGCAGAATGTACTCCCTGGGTTTGGGGTCAGGAGAATCCTGCCAGTGGATTGGTGTTGTGTTATTGAAGGTCCAAACCTTGTCCCATTCTGTAGTGGATCAGTGATGGTCACAATTTAAGGCAGACTTAAAATTTTTATTATGCGTATTGCATCGTATTAGAAAATTTAGTGTTATTCTGAGCATAAAACAAAATAATAAATAGCTACCTACATAGTCCTGCCACCCCAGCGGTAACTTCTGCTAACCTTTTAGTCTGTGTTCTTCCAGACTTCTTCCTGTTGCTCCGCATCCGCACCAGTGTTTGGTGATGTCATTGTTTTGGATTTTAGCCATTGTAAAAGGAATTTGCACTTCCCTGATGATGTATGATGTTGAGTATCTTTTCATATGTTTATTTTTCATTTGTATATCTTTTTTAGTGAGGTGTCTGTTTAGATCTTTTGCCCATTTTTTAATTGGTTTGTTTTCCTACTGTTTAAAGTTTTGTTTGTGTATTTTTCATACCAGTCCTTTATCAGTTATGTATTTTGTAGTGATTTTCTCTCAGTCTGTGACTTGTCTTTTTATTATCTTAACAGTGCTTTCACATAGTGGAAATCTTTCATTTTAATGAAGTCCAACTTATTAGTCTTTTCTTCTCTTTTCTTTTTTTGAGGAAGACTGGCCCTGAGCTAACATCCGTGCCCATCTTCCTCTACTTTCTATGTGGGACGCCAACCCAAGCATGGCTTGCCAAGTGGTGCCCTGCAAAACCGGCAAACACCAGGCCGCCGAAGCGGAATGTGCACACTTAACCGCTGCGCCACCAGTCCGGCCCCTATCATTATTTTCTTTTATGGATTGTGCGTTTGTTGTTGTATCTAAAAAGTTATCGCCAGACCCAGAGTCACCTGGATTTTCTCCTATGTTATCTTCTAGGAGTTTTACAGTTTTAGATTTTATATTTAAATCTATGATCCATTTTAATTTTTATAAAAGGTGTAAAGTCTGGGTCTAGATATATTTTTTTTGCATGCAGATGTCTAGTTGTTCCAGCATCATTTATTGAGAGGAGTATCCTGTCCTCACTGAAATTGCCTCTGCCTTTTGTCGAAGGTCAGTTGACTGTGTTTGTAATCTGTAAGTTTCCTAGGGCTGCCGTACAAAGCCCCACAAACCGGGTGGCTGGAAACAACCGAAGTTTATCATCTCCCTGTTTTGGGAACTGTAAGTCTGAAACGGTGTTGGCAGCGTCATGCTCTCTCTGAAGCCCATAGGGGAATGATCTTTCCTTGCCGCTTCTGGTGTTTGCTGGCAGTTGTTGGCGTTCCTTGGTTTATAGTTGCATCACCCTAGTCGCATGGCCCTCTTCTCCCTGTGTGTCTCCGCACCATCTGCCCCTTGTGCATGTGTGTCCCCTTCAGTCCAAGCTGGCAGCATTTCTGCTGTGGTGGTGGATTAGATCTACAAGTCACACAGCTGATGTCATCAGCATACTGTTGTCCAGCCACACACGTGGTGTTCTCTCCGGAGCACACTTGCTCATTTTTTGCAGTATGGATAGGCTGAGAATTTTCCAAATCTTCTGGTTCCTATCTGCTTAGTAGTTCCTTCTTCAGTGTATCTCTTTCCTCTTGTGTTTTGCTATAAGCAGCAAGAAGAAGCCAGGCTGTATCTTCTACACTTTGCTTAGAAATCTGCTCAGCTCCATATCCAAGTTCATCACTTGCAAGTTCTGTGTTCCACTCAACAGAACACAATTCAGCCAAGTTCTCTGCCTCTTTATAACAAGAATTACCTTTCCTCCACTCTGCAATAACATCTTCCTCATCTCCATCTGAAACCATCTGAACTTTTTAGTGTTTATAATCCTAGCAGCAGTTTCTTCTAAGCCTTTTTTTATCAAATGCCTCAAAACTCTTCTACCCTCTACCCATAACCCAATTTCAAAGGTATGTCCACCTTTTAGGCATTTTTTACAGCAGCACCCCACTTTTCCAGTACCAAAATCTGTAATGGGCTGCATATTGTCACATTACATGGAAGCACCATAATTTTTTTAAACAGACTCCAGTTTTTGAACCTTAAGTTTCACTATTAGAGGCAAGATGGTGATGAACTTTCTTATACATTTCTTATGTATTTCTGTCTTATTATTACCTTGCATATTTGTTGATCACCTTAGGATAAATTCTAGAAATGGAATCATGAGTCAAAGAGTATGTAGACTTTAAGGGTTTTAGTATATGATTCGTGGCAGACTCTTTTTTTAAAAATTTTTTTTAACTTTAAAGATTTTATTTTTCCTTTTTCTCCCCAAATCCCCCCGGTACATAGTTGTGTATTTTTAGTTGTGGGTCCTTCTAGTTGTGGCATGTGGGATGCCGCCTCAGCATAGCCTGATGAGCGGTGCCATGTCCACACCCAGGATTCAAACTAGCGAAACCCTGGGCTGCCAAAGTGGAGCGTGTGAACTTAACCACTCGGCCATGGGGCCAGCCCCCAGTGGCAGATTCTCATTCCTAACCTAGGTTGCTGACTTCAAGACTGGTTTTTATCATGGCCTGCTATTCTTGGATTAGGTATTTCAGTGGGAGATAGGATTGAATTTGATTTAATTCATTTCAAGTTGTAGATCAGGGTTTCTGAAACCTGATCTTCTGGTGTAGAAGTTTGTAGAAACCCCTTCCAGATTTTGACGTGTGCTCTGGTCATAGGTTTTCACTTTTGTTTTTGTTTTTTTTGAGGAAGATTAGCCCTGAGCTAACTACTGCCAATCCTCCTCTTTTTTGCTGAGGAAGACTGGCCCTGAGCTAACTTCCATGCCCATCTTCCTCTACTTTATATGTGGGACACCTACCACAGCATGGCTTGCCAAGCGGTGCTGTGTCTGCACCCGGGATCCGAACCGGCGAACCCCGGGCTACTGAGAAGCAGAACGTGTGAACTTAACCACTGTACCACCGGGCCGGCCCCAGGTTTTCGATTTTATGGAAGCTTTCTTGAACACTTTAGTATGGGGGCCCGGCTATGACAGGGACTGGGGAGAGGGAGGGAGTGTTGGTTCTTTTGTGTAAGCACTATTTTATGGAAGAGCCCCGAGGACTTCTTTTCCTCCTTGTTTGTACGTTGGTGTGCAGCTCTTTGGCTGTCATCATTATATAAGCTAGCTCTGCAGGTGTTTTCAGGGGTAATTGTTTCACCTGTTATTCTAGTAAGACAATTTTTCCCACCTACTTATGTGCTTTTGAAAATAACAGAAATGCTTGTGAAAATATTGGAACTTTTATCAGATGAAAAATGTCTTAAATAATCTAAATCCTATTAATCTAAAATGTAGATCATTTGTTGACTTAGCAATGCTTATGTAATTGTATGCTGAAGCAGTATAACAAGCATCATGGAGAATAACAAAAGAAAGAAGGGAGTGGCTATCCTTAACAAAAATTTCGCATTGTACAGGCAGGCCCAGTGGCGCAGCGGTTAAGTTTGCACGTTCCCCTTTGGCGCCCTGGGGTTCACTAGTTTGGATCCTGGATGTGGACATGGCACAGCTTGGCAAGCCATTCTGTGGTAGGTGTCCCACATATGAAGTGGAGGAAGATAGGCATGGATGTTAGCTCAGGGCCAGTCTTCCTTAAAAAAAAAAAAAAATTCACGTTGATGAATATGCACAATCTTCACATAAGAATGAAATATGAATCAATGTTTACAAGGCTCTGTATAGGCAAGGATGTATTAATATAATTAACATTTGGTTTTAACAATGTGATCTCATTAGTCAAGGTGATTTGGAGGAGAAAATTGGAAGAATTTACGTGAAATACTTTAATTCATTGTCTTCTCATTTTAGGATTACACTTGAAAGACGATTTCTGTGATTGAGTTGTCATTTGGAAGATTAAACTCATTTCAAGAGGACTTGGAGCTTGTCCTCGCCTTGAGGAAGCAGTGGCTTGTTTTCAAGAAGCCACTTCTGTTCTAAGGATCTACCCAGCATGTCTAATCAAGGAGAAGACTGCTATTTTTTTTTCTATTCTACATGTACCAAAGTAAGAATTGGCATCTCTAAATCAGTTCTTTCTATGATTTCCCTAATAAAATTTGATAAAATTTTCCCAAAATACTAAATTGTTGTTATGGTTTGTTTTGCTCCTGAGTCACTGGGTTGTATTGCACTTCTAGAAACTGTCGTGGGTTGGAAGTGACTTCTTTCTTCAGATTTCCTGCTGAGTGCTGAAGCCATCTTTCTCATCTACTTTTGTAGCTTTTTCTTTGTCAAAACTTCCTGTTTTTCTTCTTGATTCTTCTGCAGCTCCATTTAGATCTGTCTGCTGTTTTCTGTTGTTAGTTTATGACTAATTCTATAAATGTCTATTTTGTTAGAAAAACTTTTCTTAAGTCATCTTGGTACTATGTTTAAAATTAGCAGTTTTGAGCAAAGCTCTGATCTTATATAGCAGTTTGCACAACAGAATTTTGTTTCAGATTGTTACCATTGTATAAAGTATACAGTCAACATGGAATTATACTTAAATCCTCATCTGTTAACTTACTTTCTGATTTTCTGTCAAAAGTTAGTTATTCAAGTTGGAATGTGTGAAACAGTTTTGAAGGTGAACTGTAAAACATTTTTTTTTTGTAAAACTTATTTTTAAATAGCACCTAATATTCCCATTTGTTTTTTTCAACCCCATCTCTCAGCTTGTGTCACTCATGTTGTCATATCAGGTGAAGGGTACTGTCAAGGAATATGTTGTAGGAAATAATAAATGTGTTGACCTCAGATTGTTCTTGTCATCCGATCTCGTTATTTCCTACCTTGCCTGTCTCTCCTTACCCTTTTGTGTTTGTCTAGATGCCAGGAAACTCTGGATAGAGAGCATTTTACCTGGGATCTACTTCGGTACCACAGTTCTTTTGTGTATTATTCTGTTTGTTCACAGGGTGACAGCTGTCCATTTCGGCACTGTGAAGCTGCACTAGGAAATGAAACTGTTTGCACATTATGGCAAGAAGGGCGCTGTTTTCGACAGGTGTGCAGGTTTCGGCACATGGAGATTGATGTAAGTTTTCAATTTGTATTATGATAAGTAGTCTGGTGTCATGGGCAAATTAAAAACGGACAATGACTTCTTAAAAGTTTTTTAGTTTCAGGTTTTTTTTAAAAAATTATTTTATTAAGGTCGTAATAAACATAAAATTATAAATGTTATAAAATTATAACGTTGTGAAATTTCATTTGTACATTATCATTTGTCAGTCACTATATAAATGTGCCCCTTTATCCCTTATGCCCACTTACCCACCCCATTCCCCTCTGGTAACCACTAATGTAACCCTTCCGGTAACCACTAACCTCTTCGTGTGTTAGTTTATCTTCCACATATGAGTGAAATTATACAGTCTTTGTCTTTCTCTGTCTGGCTTATTTCGCTTAATAAAGTTCCCTCAAGGTCCATCCATGTTGTTGTGAATGGGACAATTCTGTCTTTTTTATGGCTGAGTAGTATTCCATTGTATATATATAGCACGTCATCTTTATCCAATTATCAGTCGATGGGCATTTGGGTTGCTTTCATGATCTTGGCTATTGTGAATAATGCTTCAGTGAACATAGGGGTGCATAAGTCTCTGAATTGTTGATTTCAAGTTCTTTGGATACATACCCAGTAGCAGGATAGCCGGGTCGCATGGTATTCCTATTTTTAATTTTTTGAGGAATCTCCATACTGTGTTCTAGTGGCTGCACCAGTTTGCATTCCCACCAGCCCTGTATGAGAGTTCCCTTTTCTCCACACTCTCTCCAACATTTATTAGTTTTTGTCTTGGGATTATAGCCATCCTAACGGGTGCAAGGTGATATCTCAGTGTGGGAGAAAATGACGTTTTATATAACACGTGGGTTAAATTTTTTTTTAATGATCTAGTGAAATTTCTGTCATTCTTGTAATGCTTGATATCTAGATGTTATGGAGTATGAATTGGTATCATTTTTCTGGAAGGCAGTTTGGTAATATATCTAAAGTGTAAAAATTATATATGTATATTTGGAGAGTATTTGTATTTCTTTGTTTATTTTAAAATAATCTCAAACTTGGAGAAAAGTTGCAAATACAGTATAAAACTTATTTTTCTAAGCCATTTAGGAGTAAATTACTGACATTCACTATCACCTTCAAATACTGTAATGAGTATTTCCTGCAAACAAGGAGGACGTTCTGTTGCATAATCATAATAACCATCAAAATTAGAAAATTAACATTGGTGTATTACCTTCATTTAATCCTCAGATCCCATTCAAATTTTGCCGTTGTACCAGTAATGTCCTTTATTGCAGAAGGAGCAAGTCCAGAATCGAGTGTTGGATGTAGTTGTTGGGACTCTCCAGTCTCCTTCAGTCTAAAACAGTTTTGCTGGCATTGACACTTTTGGTAGTTATAGGTCAGGTATTTTGTGGAATATCCCTCAATTTGCATTTGATACTTCCTCATTAGTAAATTCAGGTTGTGTGTCTTTGGCAGGATTATCTCAGAGGTGATATTTTCTTCATTACGTACCATTAGGTGGCATACAATTTTAATTATTCGTTTACTGGAGATGTTAACTTTAATCACTTCATTAAGGTGATATCTACCAGGTTCCTTCACTAGAAAGTTATTCTTTTTGTAATTAATAAAGTATTTGGTGGAGACTTACTTTGAGACCCTGTAAAATTATTTCATTTCTCATCATACTTTCAATTTTTTTCCAGTTATTTATTTGGATTTGTGTGAACTCATGTTTTCCTATTTTATTCAATCTGTTGTACCCCATTACTATCATTATTTTTTGCGTTCAAATTGACCCAGATTTGGCCAGCAAGAGCCCTCCAATCTAGTTTTTCTGTCCTTTCGATATTTGTCTTTTTTTTTTTGAGGAAGATTAGCCCTGAGCTAACATCTGCTGCCAGTCCTCCTCTTTTTGCTGAGGAAGGCTGGCCCTGAGCTAGCATCCATGCCCATCTTCCTCTACTTTATATGTGGGAGGCCTGCCACAGCATGGCTTGCCAAGCAGTGCTATGTCCGCACCCGGGATCTGAACTGGCGATGCCTGGGCCACCGAGAAGCAGTACGTGCGAATTTAACCACTGCGCCACCAGGCTGGCCCCGTCTGTTATTTTTTGAGCACCTCTTTGCTTTCTGGCCTCAGTAGATTTTCCAGGCTAATCTTGTACTTCTCCTCCTCCAGCCTTGGAATCAGGCATTTCTCCAAGGAGCCCTGGTTCCTTTTAGTGAAGAATGGTATCTAGAAATAAGATTTGGGCTGCCCCTAGAGTGTCACTGATTCCAGGCCCACAGTGAGCAGAACAAGGGAGTATATACATATGTATTCATACACACGTTTGTGTCATTGTTTATTACTTTATGTGCTGAAATCATGAGTTCACGTAGATGCCTCCAGTTCACCAGCACTGCAGGGTTTAGTCTAGGCTTCTCCTTTTCTCTACGTGTGACTCTCTTCTCCGAAAGTGAGAAACTTGGTTTCCATTGTCCTTAGTCTTTCTTATTTGATCAGTCTCCTAGTTGTGTAAACCAATACGGTATCACAGCCTCTTCCTTCCTCTCAGGCTCTGACATCACACATAATGCTACTCTTCCACAGGGACATCTTTAACACTTTGTTTCGATTCCAACACCCCCTGCCAGGCCTATCCCCTTGCCCCACTGGGAGGACTCCTTTCTTACTCTTTGGACCCCAACATCCTACTCTGAACCCCTCTTCTGTCCCATGGATGCCCTTCTCATGTTCTTAGGTTCCGATACTCTGTGTTGGGCAGCCCTTCCATGTGAGATTCTTACTTTCACCCTGTTCTTTCTTCAATTCTGCACCAGGTCCCCGCTCAGGAAGACCCTGCATTGGGATCCCTTCTGCACAGAAGCCTTGCTCACCCTCCTCAGGCTCCAGCACTGCACTAGGCCACTCTCCTATGCAAATGCCCTACTCACCCCTCATAGGTCTGACACCCTGTGCCAGTTCCACTTTGTCACGTGGACACTTTCTTCATCTCAGTCAGGCTCCAATACTATGCCCTGGTCCACGTGCGCTTCCCTCTCCCACTGTGAATACCCTCTTCCCTCAGCCTCACCTAATGACTTTAGACTGAGTTGTTTGAGAGGGGGTGGGGAAAGAAGAAAGAGACTAAATATACAATTTTCATGCTTGGGGTCAGTTAGCTACTCCAGTCTGGGTGCAGATTGGTAGTTTCTTAACTATACTCTATGCTGCCTATCTTCCACATAGAGAATTCCCTAAATCAGCTTTTGGAAATTCGTGTTGTAGCATTGCTGGCAGAGTGTAAATTGGCACAACTCCAAGGAAAGGTATGTCAGGGTCTCTGAGAACATCTCCATTTACAGGTTCTCTAGAAGAACTCATGGGACTCAGCATATAGTTGTATTCATGGCTAAGATTTATTTCAGTGATATAGTGAGGATACACTGTCTGATCATAAGAGAAAAAGACACAGGCAGAGTCTGGAGGAATCCCCTGCGGGTGTCTTTATGGTCTTTCCTTCCCATGAGGAGTCACACAGAGTGTACACTTCCCCCAGCAATGAAAATGCAGCAACATGTGTGGGATGCTTCTGCCCAGGGAAGCCCATTAGAGACTCAGCATATAAGGTTTTTACTGGGGCTGGTCACATAGGCACTCTGTATCTGACACATACCAGAGCTCCAGACTCCCAGAAGGATGCCAGGTTGTTCAGCATAAGCTGTGTTTGCACAGTGATCAATTAATTGACTAAGGACATTCCAAGAGCCAAGTTCCCCCATGCCAGCAAGGACGCTGTCTAAGGATAGCAGATATAGGGCTGCTCTGTTAACTCCTTTCTGCACAGAGCCCTGTTTGGCTGCATGTTTAAAAACTACTAAATGCTTCTTAAACCTTTGTCTCATGTATACTCCTGTGTGCGAAATGAGATGTAAGCAGAATTACTCATTGTAGCATAATTTGTAATAGTAAAATGTGTGAAACAACCTAACTTTCGTTTAAAGTGTATTTTACTACATTACTACAGTGAAGTGCTGGCCTGCAACAAAAAAATTTTAAAAGGGCAACTACTTATTAATTGATAGGGAAAGATCAGGATATATTGTCAGTGAAAAAACAAGGGGGAGAATAAGGTGTGTAATACATTAACAGTTGTGTAAGGACAAAGAGGGAAAAGAATTTATATTTGTTTTTTACTTGTATATGCATTATAAAAATCTCTGGGAGTATAAAGGAGAAACTTAACAGTGACTGTAGGGTGGGGACAGGAATGGGGAGGAGCCTTTTTACTGCATTCTCCTTCTATAGGCAGTTGATTTTCATTATTTGTGGGCTCCATATTTGCTAAATTTTATTGCTAAATTTATTTGGACCCCCAAATCAATACTTGTGGTGCTTTCATAGTCGTTTGCCGACGTGAGCATGGGAAACTTTGAGCTGCCCGAGGCGCACGCTCCCAGCGGAGCCTGAGATCAAGCGAGGTGCCATGCTGCCTTCTTGCTTCAGCACTCATACTGTAAACAAGTGCCCTTTTCAAGGTCTAGTTGGTGCCATCTTTTTTTCCATTGTTGTGCTTTTTCTTGGTGACTTTGCCTTTTGAAATGGTCCCACAGTGCAGTGCTGACGTGCTGTGTGGTGTTCCTGAGCGCAAGAACTCTCTTAGTGCCTTGTGGAGAAAACGCACGCGTTAGAGAAGCTTCACTCAGGCGTGAGTTACAGTGCTCATGGCGTTGAGTCTAATGTCAGAGTCAGTGATATTTAATATAAATACGCAGTCTTTAAACACAGACACAGATAAAATAAGGTTACATATTGACCAGTTGATGAAAATATTGTGACCAGAGCTTGCAGGAACCTAACTCTATTTCCCTTAAAAGCGGTATGGTTCAGCATTCACTAATTCAGTATTGATGGTGACTTCATAGAACATAGCTACTGCAAATAATGAGCATCAGTTGTGTATCTTGAGACCATGTGCTCTAATACCTATTAAAAGTTTAAAGAAATAATCATGTGGGAGAATGTTAAAGTAAAAGACTTCTATACCAAAATAAGTGATTCTCTTTGAGTAGTAGCATAACAGGCATTTATTTCCATTCTCCAAGTTGTCTTCATTGCTTGTGTATTACTTTTCATTTAGAAACAAAATCCAGCAAGTGTTAAACAGATCAAATAAATGTCGTGTGACTCCCCTATATAGAGGCTACTTATAAAAGTCATCCAAAAATTTGAAAATTACTTCCAGGAAAGAAGTAAAAACTTAAGCAAAGACAGACCCAGGAGCAAGGAAGATTGGCTTAGCTTGTGCCTTGAGGAAAGAGTAATTGAGGAATTGTTATTCCTATCTAAAAAACATTATACCTCCCTTTTGGGTGTGATTAATAAATTCTTTGAAAGGTAAATATATTTGCTGTACTTTTGAAAAATAATCAAGGGCTAGCCCCATAGCCGAGTGGTTAAGTTTGCGCACTCTGCTTTGGCGGCCTAGGGTTTCGCTGGTTCGGATCCTGGGTGCAGTCTTGGCTCATCAGGCCATGCTGAGGTGGCATCCCACGTGCCAGAACTAGAAGGACCCACAACTGAAAAAACATACAACGATATATGGGGGGCATTTGGGGAGAAAAAGCAGAAAAAAAGGGAAGAGATTGGCAACAGTTGTTAGCTCAGGTGCCAATCTTTAATAAATAAATAAGTAAATAATCATACATGTGGCAATAAACTCAGGACAGAAAATTTTTAAATAGTTTTTACCAGATTGCCTTTCAGAGGTGTTAAGCTAATTTACTTTTCCGTTATCAGTATATGGGACTGCATCATTCTACATCCCCACCAGCACAGTGTATTATCAAATTATCAGTCTCTGAATATAGTAGATTTTTATCTTTGCTCTTTTTGATACATTTAAGGATCTTTTTGTAATGGTCATTGTTTTTCTCCTCCATATTTTTAAATTTCTGAAGTAATGCTGCTCTTCTTTCCTTGAATTTTAAACTTAGGCTGCTTCTTATGATGAGAGATCCAACATAATGCAGATTATTAATCAGAGGTTACTCTTTTTCTCTTCTTCTTAAGATTGACACTTGAGCTAACATCTGTTGCCAGTTTTTTTTTTCCTTTCTCCCCAAAGCCCCCCAGTACATAGTTGTATATTCTAGTCATAGGTCCCCACCCAGGATCCAAAGTGGTGAAACCCTGGGCTGCTGAAGCAGAGCCCGCGAACCCAACCCCTCAGCCGTGGGGCTAGCCCCGATTAGTTATTCTTATGAAGTGCTTATCAGCTCTTTTTCTCTCTTTATGGAAGTATTTGTTAAAATATATATAGAAATATGCACAAATCATAATCTTAACAACTTGAAGAATTTTCACAAAAGTGAGTGTACTTACTTCACAGGCACTCAGATCAGAAAATAGAACATTTCCAGCAACTCTGTCTTCCCCCTTCGTCTCTTCATTGTCACTAACCTAACCCTCAAAGCTAATCACCATCCTCACTACCCTATCATAGAGAAGTTTTGCCTGTTTTGATCTTTACATAAATGAAATCATACAGTATACACTCTTTTGTGTCTGGCTTCTTTCAGTCAACATCTGTGGTGTTAAGTGTGGCAACAGTTTATTCTTTCTCTACTACACAGCATTCTACTGTATGAATACACTGCAATGTATTTATCCATTCTGGTGTTGATGGAGATTTGGGTTTCCATTTTGGAGCTGTTAGAAATAGTATTGCTTTGAACATTCTTTATACACATCTCATGTATATATTAGAACTAATGTACATATTTCTGTTGGATGTCTGTCCTGTGATCCAGCAGTTCATTCTAGAAGTGCAAGTATTCTTTTTTTTCTCATTCTCTTTCTTAAGAAGTAGCTTGGGAAGGAGAAATACCATCCTTAGTGTGTCGTGTGTGCCTTGCTTTGAGAAGTCACGAATGGGAAGGTTCTTCTCAATGTCTTGAATTCTCAGCTTCAAATAATTACAGTTTATTGAGTCCTTTCTCTGTGCTAATAAGTGCTTTATGTACATTATTTCATTTAATCCTCATAAGAAACCAATTAGATTGCTACAGTTATTCCCATTTTACAGGTGAGGAAAGTGAGACTCAGGTAATGTTTGTCCAACATCACATGGCCAATAAGTAGCATGATAGAGATTCAAACCTGGTTATCTTTGATTCCATAATTTTAATTACTGTATTATCCTACTGCTTTAAATTAAGTGTAGACATTTAGGGGTTACAGCATAAGGGCAAGGAGGAGAGAAGAGCAGATAAACTACTCCCTGCTCCCTTTCTCCCCATCATGCTTCGGGCGCGTCACTTTCAGCAGCTCCTCTTCTCCCTGCTCAGAAGCGTCACGCATGCCTCCGATTTTTGAACCTTGTATGAACTTTGTCTAGAAAACAAATGGCCAAATTAATGCAGGTCACACTTCATTTTTTATTTGAAAAATGTGTTTTTCCCTCTTACAGAAAAAACGAAGTGAAATTCCGTGTTATTGGGAAAATCAGCCAATGGGATGTCAAAAACTAAACTGCGCTTTCCATCACAACAGAGGACGTTATGTTGATGGCCTCTTCCTACCTCCAAGCAAAAGTGAGATTGATTTTTAATTTTAGAAGGATAGTTATGTTTCTGTATCTGCCATCTATATGGATATACACACACACACAATGAACACCTACTATTTGCACTGTACAGAGTACTTTATATATGTTGCCTTTTGTAGTCTCCTGAGAGGATGGTGGTGTTTCCACTTTACGCATGAGGGAACTGAAATATTTACTGTCTAGCTCTTTGCAGAAAAAGTTTGTTACCTGCTCTAGGCTGTCATTTAAAATAAAACTTACACTCTACCAAAAGCTAGTATTTATTTCCAAAGTCCCTTTAAAGTAATATCCTAGTGAAATGATCAGCTATTTAAAAGCCACGTCTGCTATTTGATGAAATTTGATGGCTACATATTTTCACCTCTTTTTAAGGGGAAAAACTAGGCTCACTCCATTCTGGTTTGGTTCAAAAGTATTACCTACTACCTCTTAAAAGCCACTTACTGCTGAGCAAAAAGCCTAGAATTTCAGTATTAAAATTAAATGTCTAGAATTTGCGAACAGTTACTATGCTTCAAGCCTTCTGTTTATTCTATGTTTTGAGTGCCCACTTTGAGTGTGTGTACGTACAGGGAAGTTATTGCCAAAAGCCACATTTTACCTCCCTGGGAATTCAGAACCTAATTGAGGAAATTAGGTAAAAAGACATAAAATGCTTGTAAGGAAAATGCACCAAACTTATCATAGGTGATCGCAGATTTTTGATGAATTGAGACTGTATCTTTATTTTTAATTCATGACTCATTTTGTATGTCCAGCTCTGCTGCCCACTGTGCCTGAGTCACCAGAAGAGGAAGTGAAGGCTGGCCAGCTCACAGTTCAACAGAACAAATTGTCTGTCCAGTCTAATCCCTCCCCTCAGCTGCGAAGTGTCATGAAAGCAGAAAGTTCAGAAAATGTTCCTAGCCCCACACATCCTCCAGTTGTAATCAATGCTGCAGATGATGATGAAGATGATGATGGTAAGTTTTAGCTCACTCTTTAAGGCAAATAAATGACGTGGGTCACTTAGTGAATTAGAATGAGGATTAAAGCTCTAGGCCTGCTTTTAATGGTAAATTTGCCTTAAATGTTGATAATATAGATCAGTTTTCTGAGGAAGGTGATGAAACCAAAACACCTACCCTGCAACCAACTCCTGAAGTTCATAATGGATTACGAGTGGCTTCTGCCCGCAAACCTGGGGTCAATTTAAAACAAGGTAAGAAGAGGCAAGATTGATGCTGGTTTCCGCTCAGAAATCTCACAGCACTAGCGATTGTGTCCTATTTTAAATACTTTTGAAACTTAGTTCACTATCACCACCACCTCCCTCTTCCCTGCCCCCTTTACACATATGCACACTCACACAAACAATTTCTTTTATTCAGAAAACATTTGAATGCCTGCTGTGTATGAATAATATGCAAAGGTGAAAAGGTGCTAGTTCCTCATGTGATTTGTATTTGCATTTCTCAGGTGAATGTTTGAACTTTGGAATAAAAACTCTTGAGGAAATTAAGTCAAAGAAAATGAAGGAAAAAGCCAAGAAACAAGTTGGTGGTAAGTCATTATGAGTTTTGACAAGGATGAATATTGCTAGAGAATAATAATAGGGACACTTATGATAATAAGGACACTTGGCAATAGCCAAAATGAGCAGATAGATTTTGACTTCCGTGGCTTGTTTGAAGTAAAACACAGACTTACTTAAATCATGCTTGCGTTTTAAATTTATTGCAGCCGTGTTTCAGTCTCTTAACTATTCAGAAGTAAGCACATACCATAAAAAACCTGAGAAAACTTATCTTTAAAAATATAACTCTAAAGAACAGCATATAAATCATATTAGAAGAGGAAAAGCTATATTTTTTAGTAAGTGAATTCTTCCTCATGGGGTGCTAGGATTTTCTTCTGGAGCTTGCCTCAGCCTGATTGATAGATTTTTCCAACCTTAAAAATTAAGAGGGTGTGAAAGTAGTCTTAGAGAGAAGAGTCACATGGTTGGTTCTAAGTGCCCTCTTGCTAAAGCTTGTTCTGTAGGAACCTTGGAGTTGTGTTTTGCAGATGACTGAGTATGGACGAAAAGGTTGAATTGACGCATATAATGGCTAGGGTTTCTGAGTCTTCTGACATTTTAGAATAATGTCAGCCTTATTGGTAAATAAAAGTAGATTGAGTGCCTACATCACTCGAAACATTTTTATATTTTATTTTCACGTTGTGTCCAAGGCAGATAAAAAATGGGGATTATCTCCACTCCCCTCCCTGCTACCACCACCACATTTCACTGTAGGCAAACAGGAATAGAGAGACAGAGTGGCTTGTAGTCATCCGCTGGTCTGTGTTGGACTTACCTGGTCCCCAAAACAAGATTTCTCAACCTGTGATATCTTTATTTTGCATAAATTATTTGCTGCTCTTCGACTTGCTTTATTCAGAAGGTTCTTCGGGAGCTTCCAGTCTTGTACTCCAACCTCAGCCCATTCCAGGTCCTGAAAAAGAGAATGTCCGGACTGTGGTGAGGACGGTAACTCTGTCCAACAAGCAAGGTGAGGCATAGTTAGGTCTTAACAGTTGTCAGGCTCCTACTCTTAAATAACTGGGAGAGCAAAATCCTTGGGTGAATTTTACCTTTGATGGATTTGCTGGAAGACTTCAATGTATTGATCATAGAAGGATGAAAAGAAAAGTTAGTGCATTTGACTCTACTATTTAAAAGATTGAAATTCTTATTCTGGCAGCTCTCAGATTTGTGTATATTTAATTGTTACATTTACTGTTTATTTGTATCTATTCAAGAAATTTATTGACTGTCCATTATGGGTAAAGAACTGTGAAAACCTTTTAGGTTACAGAAAATGTGAAAGTCTTTTCCCTTAATAGTTTAAAATCTAGTAAGGAATGTGGCACAGTAATTGTAGTATGCAGATACATTTAAATGTTTGTGCCATTCAAACAACAAAGAATCAGGAAAGAACTCATTTCTGGCTGGAGTGATCAAGGAAGGTTATATGGGAGAGTTGGTGGACTGGAGTGTGGTTTCATCCATCATACTGCAATGTGCAAGGAAAAGGATAGCTTAGGTTTCATTATCAGTTGATTAGAACACAGTCTGTCTTCATCTGCTTGGCTACTATCAATCATTAGGACTGTGCTATTGCCTCCCTGTGGGCTGTGCACTTGGCTATTTAAATTATTATTTAATAGGTTAAGTTTTTTTCTTTTGATATGTTAGTATTCCTTAAGACTGAGGTCAGATTTTCAGGAAGCTTTCTGTGGACTCAGTTACATCAGAGCATACTTTGTACCTATTAGTAGTTACTTGGATACAGAAAAATTGGCTAATGGTAGAGGAATTCTGTTTTTGCCATTTCAGGAGAAGAACCCTTGGTAAGACTGAATCTGTCTGAGAGACTGGGAAAACGAAAATTTTCAGTAGGTGAGATTAGTTTTGTGCATATGTTTTGTTTTATGTTTGTGTGTTAACATGATACATCCTCTAGAACTCAGAATACTGACAAATGCCCTGTCAATATTGATTTGTCAGTCCCCCTGTATTCTTGGCTGGAAACTTAGAAAATTTCTTCCTGTTTTTCACTTATGCATTACACCTTTTATTGAAGTCATAGAAATTTATAATGTTACAATTTAAGTAGTTTATGGCCAACTTTTTAGAAGGTGCTAGGTTTGAAAAACTGTAAAGAATACTTCTGTTTCTATTGACAAGTTGAAATTTGAAGTTTTAGAGGGAAAATTAGTGTCCTGTTATTTTAATTCAGTCCCTGAATTTATTAGTGCTATTTTATATTTAGGGAAGTATTTTGCCATTTTTCTGAATTGTTGTGTCCCTACCCTAGTGTCTGTCTCAAAAGAATTATTTCGGAAATCTTTGACTTCAGAGGTTACCTCACCCTCTTTTTTGTTTTAAAGATTTTGTTTTTCCTTTTTCTTCCCAAAGCCCCCTGGTACATAGTTGTGTATTTTTAGTTGTGAGTCCTTCTAGTTGTGGCATGTGGGACGCTGCCTCAGCATGGCTTGATGAGCAGTGCCATGTCCACACCCAGGATCCGAACCGGTGAAACCCTGGGCCGCTGAAGTGGACGGAGCGTGAGAACTTAACCACTCGGCCAGGGGGCTGGCCTCTTAACCCTCTTTTAAAATGTGGTTGCAAATATGAAATCTGTGTAGTGTTTTCTTTAACACCATTCTCACTCCCTGACACATTTTAGGTAAAAAATTTAGAAATAAGCTATTTTAATATCAGCATACGTGTAAACTTTGTGATTTTTGATTTAATATTTAAATTATAAGTGAGAGGAAAGAGGAAGTTATACTCTGTGTAGGGTCTTTCAGGTTTTTAATGGGATCCTGCAAAGATTATATCTTCAGTCAAGCACCCTGAAAAACAATTTTTAACAACGTGTGACGTTTAAACAACTTGTAACTAGCAGATGAATGTAATAAACCAAGAGTCAGGAAACTTGGTTCAGGTCTGGCTCTGTCACTGACTGGTGACTGGGGTGAAGTAGAGTCTCTGGCTGCCTTAGATCTCTTCTCTGGAATTGAAGAGAGGGCCTGTTTGGCCTTTGCAGTCTTCGTACCACAAGAAAATTTAAAATTTTATGATTCCTTTGCTCATTTCCTAATCATCCCAGATATGTTTAACTACAAATTTACCTAGAATTCAAACAGTTGGCCAGTTATGATTTTTTTCATGTGATTTTTTTTCCCACATATTCCTAATTCTGAATTTCAGCCTTAGCTAGGGCTTACAATTCTCCATTTGTGGTTCTGGTCAGTTATTTGATAAATGTTAATTTGGGCATTCTAATTTTTTGTCCCTTTCCTTACCACTCCTTTCTGGGACATTTTTATATCTTTTCTAAAACATTGAGTTCTAAGGAAGCCAGTGAACAGACACACCATGTAAATGCAGAAGACTTAAAAGATTATTCTGTGTTGTCTGTTTTTGCTTGTGTTTCTTAATCTTGCTGAAGATTGCCTTGAACTCTTTATTTATTTGTTTATTTATTTTGGCTGAGGAAGATTGTCCCTGAGCTATCTGTGCTAGTCTTCCTCTAGTTTTTGTATGTGTCGTGCCGCCACAGCATGGCTTGATGAGCAGTGTGTAGGCCTGCTCCCAGGATCCAAACCCTCAAACCTCAGGCCGCTGAAGCAGAGTGCGGGAATTTAACCACTGCGCCCCTGGCCCGGCCCCCGACTTGAACTCTTAAACTGAGTTCCCTCTGTTTGTAGGTGGTGACAGCGATCCTCCATTAAAGCACAGCCTCGCACAGAGGCTGGGGAAGAAAGTTGAAGCTCCAGGAACAAACGCTGACAAAACACCAAAGAAAGGTACCTTTGTTCTAATATACTGTGTGTGTGAGTGGGAGAGAGAGATGCTGCCGTTGTCTCTTGTAACGTTAACAAGTGTGGTTTGTCATTCTTTTTGTTCAGGTAAATTAGATCTGGTGTCTGCTTTATTCGTTCAAGAAACACTTGAGTGCCGCCTCTGCTAGTTTGTAGGTAGATGCCTTTGGATAAAATAAACACCATCACAATTCTCAGGAGCTTATGGTATAATGGCAAATAGGAATACTTAGGTATATTTTCACAAATTCTGTGACAAAGAAAGTACACAGTATTGTGGGAACATGGAAACAGATAGGAAGAGCACCTAATCTTTTTTTTTTAAATTGTTTTATTTTTTCACCTTTTTTTCACTTTTCTTTTTAGAGGTAACATTGGATTATAGCATTATATGAAGTTCAGGTGTACATCATCATATTTCGATTTCTGTGTAGACTGCATCGTGTTCAACACCCAAAGACTGATTGACACCTAAAGACCTTCAAAGGGCACCTCATCTTACCATGAGTCAGGGACAGGTTCCCAGAGGAAATGATGTTGCAGCTTAGACCTGAGATGGGATTTAGGTGAAGGTTAAGCTGAAGGCCGGAGGCTGTGTTTAGGCAGAGAGAAATAACGCAAAGGTGCAAGCCAAGAAACATGATGTGCTCAAGGACTGATGTGGCTGAAACGTAGAAGTGGGGTGAAGAGCAGGCTGACTGGAGAAGAAGAGAGACTGGGTGGTGTGGAAGCCTTTTAAGCCACATTAGACAGTTTGGGTTTATCCTGAGGTAGTAGCACACCGTGGAGAACTTAGTAAACACGCATCAGAGGCTCAGGTTTGCGTCTTAGAACCATCATCCTGCCTAAAACATGGCGAAGGGTTAGAAGGGGGCAAGAGTGCTGTCTGGGATTTGAGTGAGCAGGCTGTGAAAATAAGCCAGACAAGAGGAGTTAGTGGCACAGATTGAGTATTCTAGAGGTTAATGTGGAGAAATGTGGACTAAATTGAGAGAGATTTGGGAGATAGGATGATTTGATAGTTGAAGTTATATTTATAGAAAGAAGTCAAGGGTTGGATTTTTTTTCCTTGTATGGCTTGTAGTGAGACATTCGTGTTAATTTCTAAAAAAATAGGTGTTTTTTTCCTAATCATTGTGTTTCGATTTAACTTCTCTTGAAGATAAGAAACTTCTTTCCACTTTTTCTCTAGCCCAAGAGGCTTTGATGAGTAGATGTTCTTGTTTGGGGGCTTTCTTGCATCCTCAGAGCAAATAGAAGTTACTCTTTTTGTGGGGCTGGCCTGGTGGCCCAGCGGTTAAGTGCACACGTTCCTCTTCGGTGGCCCAGGGTTTGCCGGTTCAGATCCCTGGTGTGGACATGGCACCACTTGGCAAGCCATGCTGTGGTAGGCGTCCCACATATAAAGTACAGGAAGATGGGCATATGGGTGTTAGCTCAGGGCCAGTCTTCCTCAGCAAAAAGAGGAGGATTGGCAGCAGTTAGCTCAGGGCTAACTGTCCTCAAAAAAAAAAAAAGTTGCTCTTTTTCTTTGCAGCCAAATTCCCTTCCTCCTCGCCTATCAATCATATTGAAGACTCTCATAACTAAGCATATCTCAAATTGATTTAGGGGTAAACAAACCTTTTGATGCCAGTATTTTAGAAAGTTGTATAAAACAAAATTATTTCCCTAAATTAGGTAGTTTTTGCTTTTCAGATGTAAAAGATTGTTTTTTAAGCTTTCCAGAGTGCTCTAGGGAATCCATGACTTGCCTATGTCTGTACTGCGGAGAAGAATTTAAGACATGAAGAGATTTTTTAAAAGCGTTTGTGGGGCCAGCCCCGTGGCCAAGTGCTTAAAGTTCTGTGTGCTCCGTATTGGCGGCCCAGGTTTGCAGGTTTGGATCCCAGGTGCGGACCTACTCCACTCATCAGCCATGCTGTGGAGACACCCCACATACAAAAAATAGAGGGAGACTGGCACAGATGTTAGCTCAGGACTGATCTTCCTCAAGCAAAAAAAAAAGAGAAAGATTAGCAATGGATGTTAGCTCAGGGTGAATCTTCCTCACCAAACAAAAACCAGCATTTGCATTAGAAGACAAGTATAAGCCTAATTTGTGACCTATTGTAAAAGACATTTGACCTATAAAGGGTCTCTCTTCAACATTTGGTTTTTTAAAATCTTCTTTTTACAGTTCAAGTTTCCAAGTCTCTGAAGGAGCGATTAGGCATGGCAGCTAGTCCAAACAATGAGGAGGCAGCAGGTAGGTAAACCCCAAGACCAGCTTCTAATATTTTTTTCTTACCTCAAGAATCTTTACCTTTTCTCTGATTTACCTATTGAGTTAGGTTAGGGCTTGTGCTTTCGTGTGTGGGTGGGTGGATGGGTGGGTTTTTTTTTTTTTTTAAGTGATTACTCACTAGTATGAATTCTCTTTTCGTACTTAAAGATGGCAAAATGATTGTTCATCATAGCATTAATTTGTAGGAAATTAGAAACAACCTAAATATCCAACAAAAAGGAATTAGATTAAATTAAGGTAGTTATGTGCTAAAATAATTGCTGTCATGAAAAGTCATGTTCTGAACAGTGATGATATGGAAAACTTCTTGCATTGTGTTGAATGAAGAAAGGTGACACATCGCTTTTGACCTTTTGACTTAGGACACATCGGAATCATTTTTGGATAAAGTTAATTTTATTATAGACTCTTATTCTCAGGAAAAATGTCCATATGCATGAGATGATGCTAGTTTGTAAAAGATAAAATTATATGCCTAGAAAATGCAAAAGACTACGCAAAATATTAACATTGGTTTTATCTGAGTATTGAGGTTTTAAGTAATTTTAATTTTCTTCTATATGTTCTTCCTGTACTTTAATGTTTAAACTTTTTAAATTGCGAGATATAACCCTGTAAGTGTATGTGTACAATTTAAAGACTAATAAAATGAACATCCACGTACTCAACACCCAGCTTTCTTATATGTTGCTGGATTCAGTTTGATGCGTTTTTGTTTTGTTTAGTTTTGTTTTGTTTTGTTTTTGTTTTTTGAGGAAGATCAGCCCTGAGCTAACATCTGCTACCAAGCCTCTTTTTTTTTTTTTTTGCTGAGGAAGACTGGCCCTGAGCTAACATCCGTGCCCATCCTCCTCTACTTTTTATATGTGGGACGCCTACCAGAGCATGGCTTGCCAAGCAGTGCCATGTCCACACCCGGGATCCGAACCGGCAAACCCTGGGCCACCAAAGTGGAACATGCGCACCTAACCACTGTGCCACTGGGCCAGCCCCTATTCTACTTTTTTAATGTCTTCATTTTGATGACATTTGGGTAGGGTAGGGGAAAAGGGTCTCCCTGTCACCACTCACCTTGTCCTTTTTGGAGTGGTAATTTTGAGATCAGTTTACCATCTTGAAATGGAAGAATTCTTATTTTAAATACCTAAAGAGGGAGCCAGCCCCGTGGCCAAGTGGTTAAGTTCGCACGCTCCGCTTCAGCCGCCCAGGGTTTCACCGGTTTGGATCCTGGGTGCAGGCATGGCACCGCTCATCAGGCCATGTTGAGGCGGCGTCCCACATGCCACAACTAGAAGGACCCACAATTAAAAATACACAACTATGTACTGGGGGGCTTTGGGGAGATAAAGGAAAAGTAAAATCTTAAAAAAAAACCTAAAGAATTAATTCAGTAAGTGTTTGAGTGCTTCCTGTGTAACAGGTACTGTACTAAAATATTGCAGATAAGTATAGTTGCTGTTCTCACTAAGTAGCTAGCTAGTATGGTTGGAAATACAGGCAATAGCAGTGCTATGTGATTGGAGAAACAAACTAGATTGGAGGGTGTCAGGTTCCGAGCTGAAGTCAGTTAAAACTAGGCAGCAGGAGAAATGCTTGCTAGGGAATATTCCATGTAGAAGGAACAGCATATTCAAAGGTTCAGAGGGTGAGACAATATACTGTGTTAAAGATTGTAAAGGGATATTTTTTGGTTTTGCTCTTTCATTACAAGCTGTTATTTAGTGACTAAATACGTGTGTGTGTAATCTCCAAATTCTTGTTTTTTCCACATCACTTCATTATTTCTTTCTTTAGCCCTTCAGGCATATCTGTCAAGTGTGAAATTCACTCTTTAGTTTAAACAGATGTAGGAAGATTAACGTATCATTAAAAATAGCTCTTCAGGGGCCGGCCGTGTGGCCGAGTGGTTGGGTTTGCGCGCTCTGCTTCGGCGGCCCAAGGTTTCACTGGTTTGGATCCTGGGCACGGACGTGGCACCGTTGGACCATGCTGCGGCAGTGTCCCACGTGCCACAGCTGGAAGAACCACAATATACAAAAAAATGTACAACTATATACTTGGGGGCTTTGGGGAGAAAAAGGGAAAAATAAAATCTTTAAAAAAAAAAAAGATAGCTCTTCAGTGTTATACCCATCTCTGGGCCTTTCCCATTTTTCTTCTGTCTTGTCACCTGTTTTACCTCCTTTTCATCCTTTAAATGTCACTTAAGTATTACTTCCTTTGAAAAGCTTCCCTTAACCAACTCCTAGACGGAGGTTGGTATTCTTGCTATATGCTCCTCTATAGCATTATACTTCTTTATCAAAGCTGTTATCATTACCATACTTTGTTGTTTCTTAATTATTGGTCTGTTAGACTGTAAACTACATGTGGGCAGGGATTGTATTTTGCTTATCATTATATTTCTGGCACAGTGTCCAGCACATGTTTATATCCAAGAGTGAAGGGAAGAATTAATTTATTGCAATTTTTATTGGTAAGATTTATAATGACAAGTTTCTCCAACCTAGTAAATGGCTTTCAGGTTTCTCAAGAATAAGCTTTTGAATAGAAATCCAAATCAGCAATTTTTGCCTCCTAAGAGTTTTCTTTGAGGGCCACTACCTTAAACATGTAATATTCTAAGATTGAGATTGAAGCAAATGTACTTTTGATCATTTTAATTGCATGCCTAAATGATACCACTCTATTGGATTCTGTCCTGATCCAAGAATAGAAAGATCATAAGTCATTAAGAGATGAACTCCAAGTACAGTGACTTGTTTTCCTCCCATGAACACAGAGAGAGTTACTAAAGTTGGTGAGATCCACGTGAAGACATTAGAAGAAATTCTTCTTGAAAGAGCCAGTCAAAAACGTGGAGAATTGCAAACTAAACTCAAGACAGAAGGACCATCAAAAGTTGACGACTCTACTTCAGCAACAAGAAGCTCCTCCACTATCCGCATCAAAACCTTCTCTGAGGTCCTGGCTGAAAAGAAACATCGGCAGCAGGAAGCAGAGAGACAAAACAACAAAAAGGATGTAACCTGCATCAAGCTAAAGACTGATAGTGACATGAAAAAACCAGTGGTTTTGCCACCCATCGTTGCCGGCAAAGGACAGTCAGAGGAGCCTGCGGGCAGATCAAAGTCTATACAGGAGGTGCACATCAAGACGCTGGAGGAGATTAAATTGGAGAAGGCGCTGAGGGTGCAGCAGCGCTCTGAGAGCAGCGCCAGCTCCCAGCCTCAGCCTGAGGCCACCCCGGGGGCCCGACGGCTTCTCCGGATCACCAAAAAAACAGGTAACCAAAGAGCTTGGTCTGTAGTGCCGCTTCCCCACATCCCAGGTCAAAGAGACAGTGGTTCCACAGGATATTCACAGGAGTTCTGTGAGGACCTTTCTTTATGTAGATAACCAAAAACCACTGGATTAAGTAAAGGTAAGCTGTTTCTTTACAGCAGCATATATAATACATAGAACTTTGATATTTTAATGTACATTTGGAAACTATGAGGACTAGTGGACTTCATCTTCAGTTGTCTTTACCCTATGCTTCTTATCGTTACTTTCATTAAGAAAAGTTTTAATTTCATCTGTCATGAAGTTGCCCCCTAAATGAAATAACCAGTGATTTGTTTACTGTGAATGTAGGTGTAAAAGAAGAGAAGAAACTTCAGGAAGGCAGTGAGGTTGCTCCTCAGAGCAGTGTCACTAGAGAGGTGAGTTTCCTTAAAATCACTTTATAGTTTCGATCATGGCAGGCAAAGGCTAGATGAATGGTAAAGTGTGCTTTTTAGTTTTAGCTTATGATAAATTTCTGTTTAACACTTCACTGGTCTGTTAGGGTAAACAGTCTTTCACTTACCCTTACCATTTTCTTTTTTTGTAAACAGTATTTTCTTTTTTTTTTTTCTTTAGAGATTGGCACCTGAGCTAACAACTGTTGCCAGTCTTTTTTTCCTGCTGCTTCTCCCCCAATTCCCCAAGTACATAGTTGTATATTTTAGTTGTGGGTCCTTCTAGTTTGTGGCATGTGGGACACCGCCTCAGCGTGGCCTAATGAGCCATGTCCGCGCCCAGGATGCGAACTGGCGAAACCCTGGGCCACCAAAGCGGAGCACGCACACTTAACCACTTGGCCATGGGGCCGGCCCCAACCCTTACCATTTTCTAAGAGAGTTTTCTATACTATGTATATCAGTGTTCTCTGCTTTTGTAAATTTGTTTTTAATTGGTCATTAATTTTTATTTATTTATTTTTTTGCTGAGGAAGATTGTTGCTGAGCTAACGTCTGTGCCAATCTGCCTCCACCTTGTATGTGGGACGTCGCCACAGCATGGCTTGATGAGTGGTGTGTACGTCCGTATCCAGAATCCAAACCTACGAACCCCGGGCTGCCGAAGCTGAGCATGTAAACTTAACCACTATGCCACTGGGCTGGCCCCTCTCTTTTTTTCTTTTTGGCTTGAGGAAGATTAGCCCTGAGCTAACACTTATGCCAGTCTTTCTCTACTTTGTGTGTGGGATGCCACCACAGTGTGGCTGACAAGCGGTGTGGGTCCACGTCTAGGATCCGAACCCGCAAACTCAGGCCAGTGAAGTGGAGCGCGCCAAACTTAACCACTATGCCATAGGGCTGGCCCACCATTAATTTTTTAAATCAGGTTTTTTTTGCCTTTGAGAATAATGCCACTCATCGTATAAAAGTTGGGAATTTTTATTTACAACCTAGATATAACCACTATTAGCTTTTTCATGGATTTCCTTCAAGCCTTTTGTTTATATGCACGTGTGTGAATTTAACTCATATTTAGAACATAACTGAGAACTCTCCAGTGTATCAGTTTGCAGCCTGCTTTTAACTTTACCGTATTACCGTTTGTTTTTACTGGCCAAATAGTGTTTTCTTATACAAATATAGTCTGTTTCTGGACATTTGTTTTATACAATTAAGATAATCAACATCTTTATTACATGAACCTTTGTGCAAGTGTCTGATTATTTAGGAATCAGTTATATTAGACTTAGAGTTGTGGTTGTCTAGCCTGTAGAATGTGAGTTTCTATTGTTCCAGACACCTTTAATCTTTCATCTTTAGCTTAATGTTTTTTATTTAATATCAAAGAGCAAAAGCTCTTGTATTCTCGATCATGTGAAACTCTACTTGACTTAGATGTTAGCTTGGTAACTTATAAAGAGTAATTATCGTATAGGTTATTTTAGAGGTAGTAGATTTTAATTCTGTCATTTAAATTTGTTCGTAGGCTTCAGATGAGACCACAGGAGTTGGCATCACTAAAATTCAAGTGAAGAGATGTGAGACCGTGAGAGACAAGCATATGCAGAGACAGCCAGAGAGGGGAGCCTCACAGAAGGAGAAATCAGTTTTGACCCCCCTCTGGGGAGATGTAGATGCTTGCAATACCCAGACAGCAGAGAAATCAGCGCTCACTTCTGTGCCAGGCATCACACGGCACCTGACAAAGCGGCTTCCCACAAAGCCATCCCAGAAGGTGGAAGTGGAAACCTCAGGGATTGGAGACTCAGTACTGAATGTGAAATGTGCAGCACAGACTTCGGAAAAAAGGGGTAAAGGTGAGCATTTTTTCTAGTGTGTCTTGCTTTAGGATCTCAAAATTACCAAGTTTCAGTAATTCCCTGGTGATGGTTGAATTGAATTTCATTTGCCTTGTATTCTGGTCACACAGATGGATAGTAATATTTCTGGTAATTCTGTTTAAAAAGACAAAACTAGATGAGTTCCTTTCTCAGAATTTAAATTGCTGTTTCAAAAGCTTTGTCTAAAACTTTCCATGGTGCATCTTTCCTCTGGTTTTGAAGAAGAAAAACACCAGGGAATAGAAGTGCGGTGGCAAATTCAAGAGCCACTGAAAAGAATTGAGTAAGTATCTACATTATGGCCATTTGTAGTGCACATTGTGTATGGATCATTTTCAGTCTCTTTTTTTCTTTAATTATTCACGGTATTTCTAGTACTGTGAAGGAATTTTGACATTGCGAATTATTCTCCACATAAAAGAGGGCTTATTCCAGCTAGTAATCAGTTATTTTCTGTCCTTTGTAGCTAAACCCAAAGTGAATGTGAAGCCATCTGTGGTTAAAGTTGTCTCATCTCCCAAACTGGCCCCAAAGCGCAAGGCAGTAGAAGTCCACCCTGCTGTCATTGCAGCTGTGAAGCCCCTCAGCTCCAGCGGTGTCCTGCAGGAGAGCCCGGCCAGAAGAGCAGCTGTGGTAAGAAGTGGATCCAGCTTGAGGGTGCTGACGTCTGTGGAGGAGGGAAGGGGCCCGCGCTCTGTTAGCTCACATTCTCTCCCTGTGAATCCTTCCTCCCATTTCCTAAGCATTGTTATTGTTTAGGTTGTCATTGTGTTTACGTTTACAGTTAGACATTTACGGAGGCACAGGATGGCATTTTTTTTAAAGCTAAGTTTTGGGTGCTAAGATATTTTGCTTATTTGTCCCCTCAACCTTTAAATTATTTATTCTTGGATTCCCAGGCTTAAAAAATGATAACCATGATTCTAAGAAGGCAGCAAAAGAAAATGAATACACTTAAATGAAAAAGCCTGACTCTCCCACTGAATTACCTCACTTTTACTTTTGTAGGCTGTTGTCCCACTGCTCTCCGAGGACAAATCAGTCACTGTGCCCGAGACAGAAAAACCTAGAGACAGGTAACACCTACAGTTCTTTTTAACCAAACTTTAGGCCACTGTTATTGTTTATGCTCTCTATAGAATAACACTGCTAAATAACTTTAGACATTGACAGTTTAGCCACATCTGAATAAATCTGCTAAACATCAAATTAATTGCAAGAAAGCATGATACTCACAGTTGCTATCCTTCATTGGTGCCATTGTTTATATTTTGCCTCTATTATTTAAAAAATGTTTTAAACACCCATCTGAATTCTGCTTTAAAGGATGAAAATACTTTGTCGTAAATCAATAAAACAATGCTTTGTGTGTCCTCAGAAACACCTCTTGGCTAACTCTTTGTGTTCCTGAGACTAGTAGTCCAACCAGCCGTTGGCAAAGCGCTGTTTTCTAACCGTCTTTGGGGCTTTTCTTACAGTTTTGTGCTGCCTCCGACACAGTCCTCTTCAGACCCCTCCCCACCAGACGGATCTGGCCCCTCCTCATCCCAAGTGGCCACGAAAACGCGCCGACTCAGTTCTGCCTCAACAGGAAAACCCTCACTCTCTGTGGAAGATGATTTTGAGAAACTAATATGGGAGATTTCAGGGGGCAAATTAGAAGCTGAGATCGACCTGGATCCTGGGAAGGATGAAGACGACCTTCTGCTTGAGCTGTCGGAAATGATTGATAGCTGAAAGTGGTGGCGGTAGAACATTGCAGACAAACGAAAACAAAAACAAAAACTCGCCAAAAAGCTGGACTCAGTTTCATCTATTATAATATTTACCCAAGATGATCATTTCTTTAGTCTAGAATTTGCCCCAGATCAGAAGTATACCTCTGAATTATCTGTATGTGTCCTGGATTTCTTGGGGTCAGATTTTTAAAGTCCCTTGATAAGCATTTTGTCCATTTGATGCCATTGTTTAGCATCTTTGAGAAAGAAGTTATGTCTTACCCCTCTCTCCACAGAACGAGTGAGAGGGAGAGCCAAGCGAAAGGGTGCCAGAGAACTCAGTGACGCCTTGAGGTGTTTGTCAGTTTGGTTTTTTTCCCCCCTTTGTTGTATTATTCCTTTTATGTATTGTCTTAATGTACTTAATATTACCTGAGTTTGAAAAGGATGAAGACAGCTGCTACCATTAAGGACCAAATTTCACGCTACCACTAAACAACAACAAATGCACTCAGTCTGTGTAAAATTGTATGTGTTTTTAAAGGTATTTGGAGATTCAACTAAGCTTTAGAGAGGCCTGAGCAGCTCAGGAAGCCTGTAATCTGGACGTAATTTTTTGGACGTGACTTTCAAGCTTCTGCTGCCCTGTAAGCCTCTGAAGAGCAATAGCTAATTTATTATTACTGTAATTTTTTAAGGCTTTAAAGTGCCTCAGGGGTCCTCTGAAACTAATTGTCTATTTCTGGGATTCCCTGGATTCTTAATAAGAGATGGTGACATAATGATTAGAGGAATTCTTTTTTAGCATGAAAGTTGTCCCGTCTCTTCTTCAGTACTTGCCTCCTTTATCACAGGGATAAGAATTGGTTAATTTTTTATTTTTAACTCTCCCTGCGAACTCTTCTTGCCCAGTATTTATTTGATGCCCTTTAACCACCTGAGGGGAAAATGAACTTACTCAAGCTGCCGCTGTTTGACTGTGGGCTGTGGCAGTGCACTGAGGCGCACTGCAGCGGGGTTGTTGAGGCGCTCTGGGGTGTATTGTATGCCTGCCAGTTTTCTTCGTTTCTGAATTGAATTTTCTTTTCTTGATGTTAGTCTCCTTCATATCACCTCAAGGTTTAGACTTGTGAAGGGACAAGTATGATGGAGGTAATAGTCTTGAAAGGAGACGTATTGTACATAGCCGGAAGGAAGAGGAAAGGAGGACTTTTCCATTTTGGTATTTTGCTTTAGGTGGCCAGTTTTGTTTCTCCTAGGGAAATCGGACCCACCTGTCATGTTGGCTCCTAAGGAACTGCTGTTGTGAGCGGCTCTTCAAGAGTTGAACTTCATGTGGCCTTGTCGGGAATATGGAAAAGGAAGAAAGCCACAGGACTGCCCATTCAGTCTTGGGAAGATCTGGATGATTCTGCACAAACAAAAATGACTTGAAATTTGTGTATAGACACCTCTCTACCAATCCATCTTCAGCTGACTGAATGTTGTATAATAGCCCTTCTCCAAAGCAGGGGTGGAATGTTCTGGTTTCACCACAGATTTTTCTACTTATTTCATTTTTGGAATCGGCTTATAGATTCCAGATCCCTTTTGTATATAACCTTTATTCTTTCGCTTTTTTAAAAATAATTTTGTTTCATATTTAAAGCCCTTGTATTAGTCAATGATTCATGTTCAGCATTATTTGAACCGTTTGCCATTACAGAAAGAAAGACTTATTTGTGTTTTAAATAAAACTGGTGTAGGAAAGTCTTGACTCGTGAGTTGAGTAGTCATACATCATGTTAACCTAGCATCTGCCTCAGTAGAGGCCCCAATCAGAATGTTGTTGGGCGTTGGTTACTGCTCCAATTTCACAGATACTATTTGGCTTTAGAAACCTGTTACAGGGACATACTGCCAAAATTACCCACACGGATGCTCAGTTTTAGACATAGATTCTTTCAGTAAGAATGAATATTATTATATGAAGATTTTTTCCTGACACTGATACCTAGCTATAATTTTTTAAAAGGAGAGAGGGTTTAGAAGTGATCTTAGATGTATTCAGTAATTTAGAATTTTCAAGCATGAAGGCATATAAAATATTTAACTCAGGAAAGTCCAAGTTTTTCCAGTAGTGCGCAATTTTTTGTTATGGGAATACATTACAAATTTGTTAGCTACCAAAGAACATAGGTTTTTCCAAATGATAGTCTAAAATTACAGTCATGCGTTGCTTGACAACAGGGGTATGTTCTGAGAAATGTGTCGTCAGGTGATTTTGTCGTGGTGCAAACATCATAGAGTGCACTTAGACAAACCTAGATGGTGTAGCCTACTACACACCTAGGCTGCATGGTACTAATCTGAGGGGCCCACCGTCAGATATGCCGTCTGTTGTTCACAGAAACATCATTAGGTGGCACATGACTGTAGTCCCAACAAAGTGAATCAACTTTTCACAAAAAGCAAAACAAATTGTGTATTCAGTTTTGAGTGATGATGGCTTTTAGTTTTTAGCAGTAAGAAAAAGATCCAAATGTTGCAGTGTGGCCATAGCCAGAAATTGCAAGATAGTTTGCGACTCATATTTGTCTCGAGATAATGATCACTAAAGTTCTGACCTTAATCTCAAATTCCAATGGGTCTTCTGTCTCATGTGTCCAGAACATAATTTATTTTCATCTCAACCAGTCTTTGACACCATGATAGGGATAAGACTGATGTTTAATAATTACAGTTTCCGTATTAAAGCTTCTCCTATGTTGGTCACAGTTCCATGATCCTTTTCTAAAATTGTGGGTTCATTTTGCAGAATATTTCTGCAGTTCTTTAAAATATTTGCTTCCAATTTGTCAGCAACAGGAGCTGTGTGATCTCCAGTTGCTGTTTAACAGGCACACTATTTTAAACTAACACTGAGTACTTATTATGTACCTCTTAATTCACATATCCATTTTCACACTAAGTCCTACACTGCATTGGAGAGCACTGCTTTTTATCTCCAATGGAGTGTCACCATGTGTTCAGATTTAACAGTGAGTGTATTCTTAGTGCAATTGGGTTTGATTCATTGAACCTTTCAAAAGCTCTTTTTCCTTAAATCTGATCTTCAGAAGCTGCTCAATAAATTATGAAAGTTTCCACAACCCACACATCTGACTATGTTAATCTCCAAACTGCTTCAATTTCTTTGAATTTGCAAAGTGATGTTAGTTAAGGGCTTGAGCACAAAGAAAATACTTGACCATTTTCTTAACTTTGTACAATAAAATGGGCAAGGAGTAAGCAATGACCCTAAGTAGGAACAGCAATCCAGAATTTATATTTTAAAAATGAGACTGAGTGGAGCTGTCAGTAATGTATTTAATTTTCTTGGATGTAACTGCAAAGATGTTGGAGAGTCTGAGTCTGTGGTGGTGAGCAAAAAGTAGTGGACTAAAACTTGGTATTGCCTGTCTCTGGGTTTTTTGATCTTTAGACTGATTTGCCCTCAGGAGTAAAGCAACAGCCTTGTAGAGTTAAGAGTAAGGGTAAACAGAGCCAAGATTCAGACTCCAAAGAAGGCAGAAAAGGGAGAATGCTCAAATAAAGCACTTGTTTGTTGAATAAGTGAATGAGTGAAATACGGAATTGGATGAATCAAGAACACGAGGAGGAGGAGGAGGAATTTCAAGGGGAAGGAGAAGCAAAATGGAAAGAGTATATGGTTAATGAGGTCACTGGTTTGCTTTGGGAGCTCAAGGAGGGTGGTCAAATCTAGAAAAGCTGTGAGGAAAAGACAGTGGCATAACTGCCACAAAGTATTTTGGACTCCCATCCCTCGAAGAGGCTCAGATTAGAACATCATGAATTCTATCTATGATTAAACACTACTGGCCACTAAAGATAGATGGGTGTAAGGCAAACCCTGCCCTTGAAATACTTAGGAAATGTTTTTAAGAGAAAAGTAACAAGAATGAAGTCGGTGCAAGTAATAAGTGGATGATGCTACAGAGGGAGTGAGTGAGCAATCAAGAAGTTTGAGACTGGTCAGGGAAGGCTTCCTGGAGGTGTCAGAGCTGGAGCTGTGTGTGGCTTAGCAAAGGAGATGATCTGAGCTGCAAACATGGCCAAGTTGAGCAGGTGAAGTTTGTTGTTGGTGACCTCTGACCATCCGATTGGTACTCCTTCAGAGTCTCTGCCTTGTCTCATTCTTGCTCTCAACTATTCATGGCTAAGGTATAAACATATTTTGAAAAAGAGGGTCAGCCCTGGTGGCCTAGTGGTTAATTGCAGCCCCACTCTGCTTCAGTGGCCTGGGTTTGGTTCCCAGGTGTGGGCCTACACCACTTGTCTGTCAGTGGCCACGCTGTGATGGTGGCTCACATACAACATAGGGGAAGACAGGAAGCAGATGTTAGCTCACAGTGACTCTTCTTTAGCAAAAAAAAAAAGAAAAAAAAGGGTCGATTGTAAACGCAAATCTGAGTCACTTTGCTTCCACCCTGCCTACCAGCCTTCTATCCTGCCACTGACTCTTCGTGTTCCTCACTCCAGCAACTGGCTGTTGACTTCCCTCATACACTAATCTCTCTCTAGTCCTTTGCCTTTGTTAATGCTGTCTTCTACCTAAAAGTCTCTTTCCTCTCTTTTCTTTTGGCTAACTCCTACACGTTCTGTGACTCCCAGGCTAGGCTGCCTCTCCCTATACCCTGCAATCCCTTTCCCCAAATGGGTTTGGTGCCTGTCAACTAGGCACGTGTTCTTTGTTTACTCCCATTGTTTGAAAGTTGTTTATCTGTCCATCTTCCTCAGCAGAGTATAATCTCCTTGAGACAGAGATTCTTACTAAGTTCTACAGTCCACACCTAGTATAGGCCTGGCACATGGAAGGTGTATTAGTTTGGTAGGGCTGCCGCAACAAAATACCAGACTGGGCGGCTCAAACAACAGAAACTTATTTTCCTACAGTTCTGGAGGCTAGAAGTCCAAGATCAAGGTGTTGGCAAGTTTGGTTTCTTCTGAGGCCTCTCTTTGGCTTGCAGATGGCCACCTTCTCACTGTGTCCTCATATAGTCTTTCCTCAGCATGTACCTGTCTGTGTTTTAATCTCTTTCTATAAGGACACCAGTCACCTCAGATTAGGGCCCAGCCATATGACCTCATTTAACCTTAATCACCTCTTTAAGGGCCTATCTCCAAATACAGTCACATTCTAAGGTACTGGGGGGTTATAGCTTCAACATATGAGTTTTGGGGGGCACACTTCAGCCCGTAACTGAAGGCAGTCAATGAATATTTGCTGAGTAATGAAAAAGTTCTTGACCCATTTCTGCTGATCTTTGCCAGACCACCTCTGGTTTTCCCAGCCCCATTCTTGAGCATGCTTCTGACCAAGCACAGCCATTCAGCAAGTTGTGAGGCTCCCGGATGAGACGGAAGGAACTTCAAGCTGAGAGGAAGGATGTTCTTCAATATTTAGGAGGTCTGGAGGTGACTCTTATCTCAGGGTCTATCTTCTTGGACCAGTGATTCTCCAGCCTATTTTGCAGAGACCTTGGGAGCGTCATGAAAATCTCAAATTTTACAAGAACATTACGATTTGTTGCAACAAAAGGAAACATGTTTCATAGTACTTTCCAGTATCTATTTAATAAATTTATTGAATTGGCGATATATTCATTCCTGTTTCAAAATTCAAAATGTACCTAAGGGTCTACAGTAAAAGTCCTCCGTCGTCCTCCTGCCCCAGCTGCCCAGTTCTCCAAAACCAACGTCAGCAGTTTCTGAGATGCTTCCACAGATACTTGAGGCATACAGAAGTATACTTCCAGACAATATCATGTATAAAACACGATAGTCTACACCTTTTTTATATTTATTATGAATAGTTTTAATTTATTAACTACAAATTCACAACAAATCCTGTTTCATTTATACGCACACCAGCTCTCCAGCCCCTATTCTGGCCCCCAGGGCTGGGACCAAGGTGAGGCAAGCAAGGTGCCTGAGCACAATTTAAAGAGGGTGCTTACTCGGGCTTGTACTGTCACATGTGTGTGCCGCCTCAAATTTTGCTCCTTAGGCTCGCCCCATCTGAGATCAGCCCCACTGGCTCCGCTGGACTGTTTGGAAGGAAATCTCAGATGTATCATAGCTTGTTTTTCTTACTGTATATTGGATATTTCCTATCAGGACACAAACAGCTTCTTCAATCTTGATTATAGTTGCATAGTATTACATCAATAAGCAATAACTGAGCTAGTCCCTACTGATAGGCATTTAGGTGGTTTCCTGCCTTGGTATTTTTTGTTTGTTTGTTTGTTTGGTTTTTTTTTTTTTTGAGGAAGATTAACCGTGAGCTAACATCTGCTGTCAATCCTCCTCTTTTTGCTGAGGAAGACTGGCCCTGAGCTAACAACCATGCCCATCTTCCTCTACTTTATATGTGGGACGCCTACCACAGCATGGCGTGCCAAGCTGTGCCATGTCCGCACCTGGGATCCAAACCGGCAAACCCAGGGCCACCAAAGCAGAACGTTCGAACTTAACCGCTCCGCCACCGGAACGGCCCCCATCTTGGTATTTTAAACAACGCTGCAATGATAACATTATGCCACACACGTAATTTTATCTGTAGGATTAAATACCTAGAGGTGGAGTTTAATAATTTACTACCACCTTTTGATCTTTGCTAATCTAATGGGGAAAATGGTTTCCCAGTGTAGTTTAGTTTGCGTTTCTCCTATAATAAGTGCAGTCGGGCATCTTTCATGTGTCTGAGGACCATTTTATTTTTGCTCGAAACTGATTTTTCCCATCCATTGCCAGTTTTTATTTTCAGTCTTTGCGTCAGGTTAGAAATGGCTACAAATTCTGTAACACACTTCCTGTCAAAAGGTGGGCTCTGTTTTTCCAGCCCTGGGGTGTGAACACTATACCAGTTCCGGGGCTGGCCTTTAAGGGTGCTGGCAGCTTTAGCCTTGGTTTCCTGGAGCCCAGGGCCCCCACGTAAGAAAGCACACGACTGTGCCAGAGAGACCACGCCGTGAGGCCGGGGTGCTACACAGACCCGGGAGGGGCCTGGCTGAGGCCGGCCTTCCGCACACCCTCCGAGGCCAGAGGAGACCTTGTCTCGGAGCAAAAAAGCCCCCAACCAAGCGCTGCCCAAATTCTTGACCCACAAGGTCATGAATTCTAACAAAATGCTGGTTGTTTTAAGCTACTAAGTTTTGGAATATTTCTTACACAGCAATAGAGAACCAGAACAGTATTTTTCCCCAAGAGTTCTTTATATATTAGTAAAATTAGCCATTTGTTTGATGTGGTGCAAACATACTTTTCCCAGATCTGTAGACTTTGTTTATTTTGGTGGCTTTTCAGTCATGCAAAACTTTGTAATTTTCATGTAACTGAATTTATTACTTTTTCTTTTAAAAATCAGCTAGGGCACACAATTGAGGAAAAGACAATTTTTAAGAAAAAGAGATGAAATATCTATGATTTAACTAAATTAACTAGAAAGAAGAATCTAAAAACTAAAGAAAATAAAAAAATTTCTCAATGTCTCAAAGGAAAATTTGAACAAATAAAAAGACATCATGCAGTTAGATTTTAAAAATTCTAAGTAGGGCGAGCGGCAGCTGGTGGTTCAGTTTGGGCACAGCCTGGGGCCGGGCTCTACTCAGGGCTGGGGTCCACACAGCTCTCAGGAAGCCACGCTGCCACCGCGTCCCGCATAGAACGAGGAAGAGGAGGGCAGATGTGAGCTCAGCGACAATCTTCCTCACCAAAAATTAATTCTAAGTTGTTCTAGAGTTTAACGTAATCACAGTAAAAATGCCAAAAGGATTTTCTTTAATTAGATAAGCTAATTCTAAAGTTCGTAAGAAAAATAAAACAGCTGGGAAAATTTTACCTACTTCTAGCTCTACCAAATAAGAGAACATTATAAAGACACAGCGCTGTCCTCACAACAGCGCTACCCGCCCACGGACACAGATCAGCTAAACCCGCACACTTGGTCCACGATAAACGCGGATTTTAAACGAAATGGGGAAGAATGGGGTTTCTTTTTTGGAACGGTGATGGCAAACTGGGCGGCCATCTAGAAATCACAAAGTTGTATCAGTTCTAGGATATGCTGGCATAAATTCTGGATGGATCAAAGATTTAAATGTAAAACAGCAAAATCATTAAGGGAAAAAACCACCTGTCTTGTCCTGAGACGCACATTTGACCCATCAGCCAAGCGATCGGTTTCGGGGATCAATCCGCCAACGCTTCGGAACCCCGACTTCAGAGCCCGGCGGCAGCGCACGGCCGAGCGGGCCCCGGTCCTGGGCCGGCGCCGGGGAGGCCCGTGTGACCCCGAGCGCCCGCGCCCTCGCCCACGCCGGCTCCCGCCCCGGAGGCCCCGCCCGTCGGACCGCCCCGCCCCAGCGCGCGCTCACGGGACACACGCCTTCCGGCCGGGCGGCCCGCCGCCGCCCCCCCGGCCCCCGGCCCCGCCCCCCCGGCCCCGCCCCCCGCCCCGGCCCCCGGCCCACGGCCCCCCGGCCCCGCGCCCCCGGCCCCGCCCCCGGCCCCGCCCCCGCCCCCGCCCCACCGGCCCCGCTCCCGCCCCGGAGCGTGTGGGTGAGCGCCACAGCGCCGCCGTCCCCTGCGCTTCTAGGGAGACGGGCCCCTGGGAGCAGCAGCCGGCGCGCGTCCCCGACGGAGGGGCGCGCGGGGCCGGCCTCTCGCAGCCTCCCACCGCCGACTCGGAAACCCTGCCGCCGCCGACGCCGCCTCCAGGGGGCGCTGTCGGACCGGCCCACGTTCCAGAGCGCCATCCCCTCAGTCTGGCCTCCCCCGGATGCTGTGGAGCACCGAGAGAACCGGCCGCACGGCTAGAGAGGCGTCTCCCAGGAGCCTCCCAGGTCTCCGCGCGGCGACCAGACACTTCCCTTTCCGGCTTCTTATTCCGGAAGCAGCGCTGAGGCGGCGTGCGGGGTCGTGCGGCCTTTGTCCTCTTCCACCATGGCGTACCGCGGCCAGGGTCAGAAGGTGCAGAAGGTGATGGTGCAGCCAATCGTATCCTTCGCGGGGCGTGAGGGCTGGCGTCTCGGGCCGGCAGACGGGGCGAAGAGCGGACAGCAGGGGCGGGCCGCGGCCCCTCCCGTGAGCCCGGGGCGGGCGGCCGAGGCGGAGAAGGCGCGGGGGCGGGCGCGGGGCCCGGGGCGTGGGGCGACGGGCCGCGGGGCGTGCTGGGAGGCGGGCCCGCGGGGCGCGGGGCGCGGGGCGCGGGCGGGCGGGCGGGCGAGGGCCGGGCGCGGGCGCGGTGGGCGGGCCGGGCGCGCTTCAGCGGAGGCGGAGCTGTGCGTGTTTCCTCCTTAACCGTGGTGCAGAACCTCATCTTCAGATACTTGCAAAACGTAAGTAAGTCTGTTTGTTTGGTGATTCTTCTGTAAGTCAGGACTTAATTTCTTTGGCCGTTCGCGTCATCCTGTGTGATCACGGAGGTCTAGAGTTAAAAACAGGTGAAACTGGCGAGGGAGTGGGGTGTGAGGGGGCGGCTCTGACGTAGTGAGACGGCGTGTGGCCGGCCGCCTCCAGGCGTGCCGAGGGTTGTGTCGCCGTTTGCAAGGCCGAGATTACTGATTTCAAAAAGTAATTCTTGGCAGACGTGACAGTGGTATTGGGTATTGGTAGTGATTATGGCCAGGACGTTGGAAGCTTCCCCTCTATTTTCCCCTAGGATGAAACATCGCGAGAAAAGTCCAGTCAGCTTTAAACCACGTCATAAGGTGGTGTGTTTAGTACCTGGGGCAAAACTTAAAGACGGAAAAGACACTGAAAAAGAGAGGCGAGGGAGAGAGTCAGACCACTTAGGGGCAGCCCACTCCCCTTCGCGGATTTTAGCCCCTCGCGTGTCCCGTTGGCAGGGCAGAGTGTTTTTAAATTATCTTTGGAAGGATCGTAGCTGCTGTTGCTCTGACGAATTTTAGTGTGACGACACGATGGAAAAGCGGATTCATTGCAAGCCGCTGTAATTTGTAATCACCAGTTGAGGGTCTCTCCCTTGACTGTTAGATGTGAGGTGTGGAAAACCGAGAACCGGAGAAAGCTGCTCTGGAGCTGGGTTTTACTGCAGCGGCTGAGGAGGAAGCCCGGGTCGTTAGGAGTCTGCTGGGCGGCACTGCCCCCAGGTTCCGCTGTGCAGGGACTGAGGCTGGAAGCGGTGAGGAGAACGGTTACGCTGCAGGGTCACGGCAGGGTTAACAGCTCGGTCCGACACAGCCTGTGTCGAGTGGGACTGTTTCCTGGCAAGTAGTGGGTCTCAGTTTCCAGGTCTTAGATGAGTGTTAAAGGTTCACGCTCTTGCTATTTGTTTTCTAAAGTTTGTTTAGCAGCCGTATTTCTCTCGTGTTTGACCAAAGTGGTTAGATTTTGTTGACTTTTAACATTTGTATTTCTGTGGTTATTTCAGAGATCTCGGATTCAGGTGTGGCTTTATGAGCAAGTGAATATGCGGATAGAGGGCTGCATCATTGTGAGTACCCCGGGTGTCGTATCTCAGAGCAGTGTGTTCACAGAAAAACATTTCACGAAAAAGGCCAGCCAGAGCAATGTATGAAAAGTCAGAGACCCAACCCAAGGAAGGTTGTTGAGGGCCCGCTGTCTTCTCTCGTTGTTCTACTTGATAGGGATTGGGTAACTCAAAAAGGAGAGGGAAAATTATTTTAAAAAGTTAGTTAAGTAACAGCATTAGTATTTGAAGGAGGAGGCAAAAGAAATACAATTAGGGGCTGAGGGTAAGAATTAAGAGTGTTAGTTCTGGGTTATGTGATAGCTGAGTAGAGTGGGTGGGGTTAGTTAAGACTTCCAGGATAGCAGAATATCCTCAATGTTTTAAAAGGAGATAAAATGTGGCTGAAAATACTATGTTCAGACACTTTGGTATTCCCCTCAGACTTGTGGATTCCATCAGTAATCTCCCCTTCCCTGATTACTAGTTGGAAAACAAGCCTGGTGGTTAGTGGTGGTGGTGTTTTGTGGGGAACATGGGAAGAGCAGTGGCAGATGTTAATTCACATATGTACACACCTGTTTGACATTGAGCAGGTAGTAAAAGGTAGAGAGAATGGCTCTTTGGCAGAGCTAATGAAATCTTAGTCCAGAAGGATCCAGAAGTAACTTGGAGTAAATTCTCCCTTTCTTTGTTATTTAAAAAGAGGCTTATGGGGCCAGCCCGGTGGTATACAGGTTAGGTTCATGTGCTGTGCTTTGGCAGCCTGGGGTTCACAGGTTCAGATCTGGGGTGTGGAGTTACACACCACTTGTCAAAGCCGTGCTGTGGCATCATCCCACGTACAAAATAGAGGAAGATTGGCAACAGATGTTAGCTCAGGGCCAGTCTTTCTCATCAGAAGAAAAGGCTTAGGGTGGGAGGTGGTGCTCAGCTGAATATAGTGGAAAGGGGTGCAAAAGATCAGTGGAAGGGTGAATTTCTGAAGTTGGTGGGTACTTCTATACCTAGATAGGTGTATTCGTTTAGAATGGTTTGGACGTGATCTTACTTGAAGGTGACAGGCAACTGGCTTATTTTTCTAGGGTTTTGATGAGTATATGAACCTCGTATTAGACGATGCGGAAGAGATTCATTCTAAAACAAAGTCAAGAAAACAACTGGGTAAGAATATAGACGCCTTCTGGAATTGTAGAAATGTGTGTTCAGCTGTGGAATTGAATGACCTGCAGCTCAGTTCGTGTTTACGTTTGGTTTGCATTGAGAAGCTGTTATTGGGGGAGTAGTACACACTTGCAGTCCTGCTCTGCTGCTTATTCCTTCCCGCACCCTGTTTCTGTTCCTGTCCCTCCACTCAGGTCTTAGCAAGTCACCAAAGACTAGCGCTGTTAAACCCAGTGGTCAGTACGAGTCCTTATTTTGTTGCATTCTAAACAGCATTTGGCACTGTTGGCTGCTCCCTCCTTGAAACGCTTTGTTCCCTTGGCACTGTGGTACTACACTCAGGTTTTCACTTTCCACCTCTAGTTCCTCCTTTTCAGCCTTGTGTGTTCAGTCTTGGGGCCCAGCCATTCACTGTTTGAGTTGCTCAAGGCTTGGTTCTAGGCCCTTCTGTCACTCAGTGTTATTTTCTAAGGCATTCAAACTACACCTTCAATTGCTATCTGCATTTTGACTCCCAAATTTTTGTCTGTAGCCCTAGACCTCTCTCAGCCTATTCAGCATTTCTACTGGAATGTCCCACAGGCTTCTCGATGTGAGAAGACCAGAAGTCAGACTCAGTTCCCACCCCTCATACTAGAGCCATTTCAGTGTCCCTGCCGTGGTGAGTGGCACCAGCTTCCATTCAGTTTACTCATTGATTTCTCTGCAGCCTCCTCATCCCCCTCCAATTTGCTCTGTGGCCTGCAATCATCTTTTAAAAACAGCTGCCTCACCTTGTCATCCCTCTGCCTGAAATCCTTTCATGGCTTCCTGCGCTCGTAGGATAAGAAGATCTTTAATGTGTTCTGCAGGCTCCTTCTTGATCTGGCCTTATCTCCCTCTGCTCTGTTTTGTGTGACTCTGCTTTATTATCTGAGCTTTATCCTCACTTCTTTCAGTTCTTTGAATCTGCCACCACCACATGCCCCACCACAGATCTCATAGATCTTTGTATATCCTGTTCTTGTGTCTTTAGGACTCAGATCAAATATCACTCTCTCCCTGGGTTTGGTTTGGTTTTGCTTGGGGTGGGGCTGGGGGAGGTAGGGTGTGCTGTGCTGAGTTTGTAGTAAAACATTCATTAGTGGGATTATTTTATTAATGTCTCTCCCACTGGACCAGATGCTCCATAAGTGCATGAGTCCTGTCTTTTTGGCTCCCTGATGTGCTCAGTGCCTTGAGAACTCAGTGCCTGCCATGTAGTAGAAACTCAAAAATAGTTGAATGATTAACGCAGTTTCTTAACCTAGTTAAGAAAAGTTAAGGAAAAATCCTAAAGACAACAGGTCTTTAGGATTCATGGCTTCATCAAGACAAACTAAATCATTTCTCTGAAAATCCCGTTAATTTGATGTGTTTAAGCATTTTGTCTTCACTTGTGTAATGCCTCAGTTCACAGCTCACTAGTACTTTGATCAGTGGTAAGTTTCAGGTATCTCTGTTTTCCCAGACTCTTGAGGATTCTTTTGAGCCTATACTAAATATATCAAAAGTAGATTCTGAGAGGTGGTATGATGTTTTGCTATGCTTCTTCCTGCTTAGACTATTTTTGTGAAAGCCTAGATTTTCCACGTTTAAACATGTTTTGCTGGAAGGGTAAGCTAGCCTTATTGACATCATATTATTTATAAATTATTTGCAAAGTGTTGAATTCCCAGGGTAATATCCATCCTGTAGAATAGATAGATATTACCTGTTGTAGAAGCCTAGGAAAGTGAAACAATTTCATCACTATTGGGGTTGATTAGCATTTCTCAAACTGTCGTACTATAAACACCAGTGTTCCTGCAGATGTTTATAGATATTTCTCAGGAAAAAAGTATTCTCTGCTCAGGTAAGTTTGGGAAATGTTGAGTAAAACTTTAACAGGTTTGTTTATTTTAGGATGAAGTCTTTAATATACTAAGAGCTCTAAGAATGGGGTTATGGTGTACAGCATTTCCTAAACTTGACAGACAACTCATTTCCCAGCTTCTGCAAACTCAGCATTGAGAAATGTTGAGGTAGACCTATTCAGTTGACTTAGTCTACAGAAACCGTACTTTTTATAAAATAACATTTTTCTACCTTCTTTAGGTTATTGTTGGCAAAGTACATGTGCTCTAGTATGCACAGCCTTTCAGTGTATAGATGTTGGAAAATGTTCACGTACTTTTCGTAAGGGAGAAAGCATTTTCAAAATTGCTCAAGAATGATGAGAAATTCTGAAGCTAAAAGGTGGTTTTACACTTGTCTGAGTGGCTATTAATAGCTTTTTAAAAAAATTTTGTGTTGCAGGTCGGATCATGCTAAAAGGAGATAATATTACTCTACTCCAGAGTGTCTCCAACTAGAAATGCTCGATGAAGTGAGCCATTGTTGAGAAGGCAATGCAGTTTGTTTTTAGTGTTCTCTGTTGGAGTGTAGCTGTAAAACAGTTTTGCATATTGTTTTGATTACCCTTATGTATTACCAGATGACAATAAATGCTTTGGGATTGTTTTTATTAAAAAATCTACATTGTTTTCTTTCTGTCAGTGATAGAGACCTTTTACACAATGGCACCGTTAGCTGTTGGTATTTATTTTAAAATTTTCTGAAGGGTGGCTATTACCCTGGGCGTTTGCTTTTCACAGAGCCTGGATCGGTAGACTTTTAAGGCAAAGGGCTTGTGTGCCTGACAAGCCAGCTTCTGCTACTGGACGATGGAGAAGGGGAGGGTTCACGAAATAAGCAGAGGTTGTGGCGCTGATGTGTCTTCACTGTCAGTTCCAGTTCTTGACCTGGAGCACCAGCGTTTCCAACCACAGAAGGTTGGGAACATAATAGCTTCACTATTTGCTTAGCACTCTCATAGAAGGCTCTGTATGAGGTCTTTGTGAATTCTTTTATCACTAAGGTCAGAATGGGAGAAGTATTTGGGTATAGGCAAAGGATGAAGTGCCTTAAAAGTACATTAAAATTAAAAATGAGCTCTGTTAAGAGTTAACAAGAGGGAGACTGAGATTGGTAACCTGAAAAGACCACAAACAGTACTGGTAAGTTGTTAGGCTGAAAAGTGTGTTAATTGGAGAAATACCTGTCTGTTAATCTTATCTCTAAGGATTTTGGTTTCTCCCCCCCAGTAATTGCTTTTTTCCTCATTGAATAATGTGGACAAATCTCTCCTACCCCAATAACTCAGGGTGGTTCTGGTTAGAATTTTGTTAAATGGTTAGTAAACATCTGTTAGATAGGCACAAAGTTGAATAAATACAGTGAATCAGACTGGCAAACAAATGGCTTCAATACCATGTGCAAAGTGCTCTTTAAATTGGATCTTGAAAGGTAAATAAGCCCTACCTGAAATTCTGGTGATGGGCAGTATTAGTGAGGGTGGGTGAGGAAGGACCAGGAAGTCCAGTTTCTGCTTTTCCAGGTGCCTGTCAGGGAGCTATAGAACTTTTCTTTGAACTGAGTGAAAGAAACCCTTTATGAGAAGTAGGTGAGTGTAAAAATCAGTCCAGCTTAGAACTTGGCATTGTAGCCTTCCTCTCCTATTTGAACTAGCGCCTTTTTGGTCATATTTTCAAATAAGGGGCTGCTTTAGCTCTTTTAACATATTTGAGTTTGAAAGTCATTGAACCTGCGACAGCATGCAAAGAAAGCATTGGGCAGCAGAGGGAGTTGCAGCCCTGAGACTGCTTCAGCCTTTCTGGTGAAAAGGTTTTTCAGAGCAGAGCAAAGACCTCCCTACAGCTTTCTTGGCACCAAAATAGCTGGGAAGAAGGATAAAAGCTGGAGCGGTATAATCCCTGAGAAAACCTGCTGGTTGCTTTTTCCATTTCCCCGTGTGGCCTTCTGACCGGGCTGCCCTCTAAGCAAGGCTGTGCCTGCTGTGGCTTATTCTGAATGGATCAAGACACGGAAGGTTCTATTTTTGACAGCAAACGAGGATAGTGAGAAATAAGGTACAGGGAACATTTACAGTTGAGCTCTCTATTTAGAAATCACTGCTTTCCTGCTCTGCTGGATCCTGTGCTGTTTGCTTTTTAAATGGTGCTTTTCCGCGATCTCTAGATACATTCTTCCACCTGGAATTTGTGTTACTGGAGGCATTGCTCTCTGCTTCATTAAGGTTTTTAAAGCACGGTGCTGGGAAGCTGCTCTTATTGTCAGCCCTGGCTATGTGAGCAGTTATTTTTCTGGAATGGCTGCTGATTTCCGAGAGGGTCTTGCTAACCACCCACTAACTCTCTTAACACTTCAAGGGGGAGAAGGAGGAGAATCAGGCTCTGAAACAGTAGATGCTGATACAGCCCTGGTGTTCTGTTAGTAGTAGGTAGGGAGAAAGAAGATAGGAATAGTTTGAAAACCCTAGGATTTTGTGGGCGTGGGCACCAGCTATTGTCATTGTTTCGCATTTGTCACAGTTTCAGCATTGGAGAGTGGATCTCTAATTTGGATCAAGGTGTTATTGGCCAGGCAGTATCATGGGAAGTTCCTCGGGGCCTGATATGCAGCATCTCATGTTAACTGGATGACACGGGAGCTTTTCTTTAATTAGTTGTTCCTTTTAGAACTAATCATAGCAACCCACTCATGGTGTGCTTTTGTGAGGAGATGCTTGGTAAAACTTAAGGTGGCGTGAGAACTTAAGTCTATTAGTACCGAGAGTTTAATTTTAACTTAAAAGTTTTATCCAATGGAAGTTTTTAAAATTAAAAGGTGTTACTTAGTACATGTTTATGATCAAAATACAAGCAGTACAGAAAGATACAAAGTAGAAAAGTCCATCCTTTGCCCATCAGTATTCTCCATGATAACCACTGTTAAGAGTTAGGTTCTTACCCTTCAAAACTCTTTACAAATACGTGTAGTATGGTTTGTTTCTCATTTTGAGATTTTTACCTTTTTTTTTTGGTGAGGAAGATTGTTGCTGAACTAACATCTGTGCCAGTTTTCCTCTCTTTTATATGGGACATCACCACAACGTGGCTTGATGAGCAGGGTGTAGGTCTGTGGCCAGGATCCAAACCAGTGAACCCTGGGCTGCTCAAGTGGAGCACATGAACTTAGCACTACACCACTGGGCCAGCCCCAATATACTTTTAGTTCTTTAAAAAATTTTTTTCATTTTTATTTTTAGTTTTGGTAAAAATACACGTAACATTTCCTGTCTTAATCGTTTTGAAGTGTATAGCTCAGTAGCATTATGCATATTCAGATTGTTGTGTAACCAATCTAGAACTGCGAAACTGAAACTGTCCATTAAGCAGGAACTTCCCATCCCTCTTTCCCTCTTTCCCCCCAGCCCCTGGCACCCGCTGTTCTGCTCTCCGTTTCTCTGAGTGTGACTGCTCCAGGGACTTCATGTGGACTCGTGCAGTATTTGTCTTTTTGTCACTGGCTTATTTCACTTGGCACAATGTCCTCAAGGTTCATCCATGTTGCAGAATGTGTCAGAATTTCCTTCCTTTTTAAGGCTGAGTAATATTTTGTTGTATGTATGTATATACCATATTTTGTTTGTACATTCACCTGTCAGTAGACATTTGGGTTGCTTCCACCTTTTGGCTATTGTGAGTAATGCTGCTCTGAACATTGGTGTGCAAATATCTCTGAGGCTCTGCTTTCAACTCTTTTGAGTATAGACCCAGAAGGTTTTTTGAAGAACCATCATACTGTTTTTCCACAGTGGCTGCACCATTTTACATTCTTACCAACTGTGCACGAGGGTTTCAATTTCTCCACATCTTTGGCAAAACTTATTTTCTATTTTTGATAGCAGCCGTCCTCGTGGTTGTGAAGTGATATCATTGTGGTTTTGATTTGCATTTCCATAATGGTTTGTGGTGTTGGGCATCTTTTTATGTTTATTGATCATTTGTATATCTTTGGGGAAATGTCTATTCAAGTCTTTTGCCCAGTTTTAAACAGGTTATTTTTTGTTGTTGAATTGAAGGAGTTCTTTACATATTCTAGATATTAACCCCTTATCACATACATGCAAATATTTTCTCCCATTCTGTGAGTTGCCTTTTTACTCTGTTGATTGTGCTTTTGATACATGGAAAAAATTTTTTTTTTTAAGATTCTGTTTTTCCTCCTCCTCCTCAAATTCCCCCGGTACGTAGTTGTATATTTTTAGTTGTGGGTCCTTCTAGTTGTGGCATGTGGGATGCCGCCTCACCGTGGCTTGATGAGCGGGGCCAGGTCTGCGCCCAGGATTCGAACTGGCGAAACCCTGGGCTGCTGAAGCAGAGCGCACGAACTTAACCACTTGGCCACGGGGCTGGCCCTGATACATGGAAATTTTTAATTTTGATGTAATCCAGTTTATCTATTTTTGCTTCTGTTGCCTCTGCTTTTGGTGTCATAGGTATTTTTACTTATTTATGCACATATATTCTGAAGCTTGACTCTTATCAACCAAACTTGGATATATTTTATGTTAACTGTGATGTATTTCATTGTATGAGTCTCTCAATTTAACTAATCACTCCCTATTAGTGGATATTTTAGGCTGTTTTTAATTTTTGGCTGTTAAAAGTTTTTTGTAATGAACATCTTTATACCTGTTTTTGTCCACTTAAATGTTTCTGTAAATGTTAAATGGATGAATTCTTAAAAGTGGAATTGCTAGATCAATGGATATGCACATTAAAAATAAATTCTGTAGATACTTCTAAATTCCCTTCCAAAGTACATATGAGAAAATTGTTTTCCTCATAGCAGCCAACCATCAGGTAGCAGTTTGAATGGAACTCACAGGCTTATTGTGAGGCTACTGTGAAATAACTGCCATTATCCTAAGGATGCCAGAATAGAAAAATGGAAAAATATAGGTCTTTGATGACTTTTGAGCCACTGAATTAATCAATTCTGGAACTTCCTACCACCAAACTTGTTACATGAGAGAATAAATTTCCTGCTTGGGTTTTCTGTTACAACTACAGCATTGTAACTGAGAACAATGTCAGTATAGGGCCGCCTGTCTTCAGTCCTCTTAAGCTTGGAAGGGGATCAGTTGGTCAGTGAAGAATTGTTAAATGCCCTGGTTGAGAAAGTTGGCAGTTGAAGTGATGATCTGGGCTGTGTAAGGGAATACAAATGAAATGATGTGACTGATTTTATTCAATACAGCAGTAAACTCTATGTCCTTCCCTAGTTAAGAAAATAGTTCCTGGGAAAGATGATCTTGAATCATCATTCCGTGTGCATAGAAATTGCTGCCTCTGGAGTATTAACAGATTAGTCTTGTCCCCAGGGCCATCCTGAGTTAGAGATGTTTTGCTGGGCTGAGAAATTAC